GCTTTCTGATCACTAAGATTCTGGCATTTCAGCCTTAAAGCTGGTCAAAATCAGGTAGTTGTCCCTTGTACGCCCTGGTATGCTTTGGTCGCAGTTCACTCTGAAAAACGCCTGCCCTCGGCGAGAAAAGTGGAGCCGAAGCTGTGTCGCCGAGAGAGCAAGCACAAAAGCTTCGAATTGGATCCTCTGATCTGCAGAATCTCTGGCGGCCCTGCAAACAGGTGTCCCTTTAGTGGAAATAGATGGCCCTGGTGGATGATTAAACCACCAGGTAAACCAAGCCCATCATTTTTTCTACCAAAACAACTAAAACATGACACCTATGGCCCTGCATCATTCGGTGTGATCAAAGGCTCCCGTTCTGTGCAAGGGCCAGCTCATTGCCGAGGTGGCGCAATCAAGCTCAGAGTCTGAGCAGGGTCCATGGCCTCAACAGCACGTTGGCCGCAAAAGCAAGACGGAGCAAACGACAGTGATGTATATAAGCGGACAAACGACAGTGGATAAACGGACAAATGAGATTGTCCCTGCCGCAGGGAGAAAAATAACAAACAATGATGCGGTGACACAACAGACTGGGCTCCCAGCTCAAGTATCCACGCTCGTGTTGCCCGGAGCCGGCAAGGCTTTCTCGTCTGGCAAGGCCTTCTCGGGCGGCGCTGGCACGGCTTTTGGATCTCTGATGCTCAACAGGGGGGCATCATTCCGGGGCTTTTTGGGTGGTGCAGGATTTCGTCCATCCACAGTATTTTGGCAGTTGCCCTGTGTGCGGGCGCGTCGAGGGCCGTGACTTGACAAGCAAACGATATACCCCAAAGATTGCGGTTGACTTCGCAAAGCCTCACGCCTTCAAGGTCCAATCTGGGATCTCTGATGCCCAACTCGAGCGAGCGGAATGCCATGGATGGCAAGCTCCGGGCTCCCTCCTCTCCGAAGTTAGCGATGCGGTCGTCGGACATCATGTTGAGCTCCGGAGCCAGAAGCTTGGTGTAGCGGTCGAAGTACAAGGACTGCCGCTCCGAACCGGTCGGATTCGGAACCGTTTTGGTTTCCTGGGCCGATAAGTTTGTATTTTTGTCGAGGCTCGGCACGCGTTTCGGGTATCGAAACCTAGGAAGACCGCAGTTGTGAAGGTCCAAATCCCTTCAGACCTGTGTGCCCCTTTCCTTCTCCCCCCCCCCAGCTTCCTTCCAATTGGTGGTTTGGAGCCCGGTGATGATACCTTTCCAGGGCGGCTTCCATTTACACTCTACAAGTGACCACGTGGCCGGGTGACCACCTCCAAGCCGGGTGACCACCTGGCTCCAAGCCACCAACTTGCGTTACCTTCTCCCGTGCCTGCTTGATGAGTAGCCCAAACTCGCGGGGCAGCTTCAACCCGTTGTTGCCCGCAACCTCGGGCAAGCCCGGCGCGAGGCGAGTCGTAGCAAATCGCCGAAGCCCCCCTATCCTTCCAATCGGGGGGGGGGGGGGGGAAAGTTGTGTTTTTTGCAGCCACCCATGAATTCAACACGAACAGAATCAGAACAACTAAACAACATGCCAAGAACAGGGAGGCGATGATTCTGATGACTCTTATGCTTCCTTCAATCAATTCATGACCATTCACTGTTTGTTCCAGTTATCCAGAGGTTTGGCAAAAGTTGGATGAAGCTACTAGACCTGGTGCAGCAAACAGCCAGTGCGTCTGGAAGAATTGTGCCAAAACCTTCGTGCTCCAAATGTTCTACATGAGATGGGGGTTGATCAATATTATTGCCCCCAAAATGACCATGGGCAACTCTTTTTCCATGTGGTGAAAGTCATCCTTTTCGTGGTTTCCCTAATGGTCACCCCATGTCTTCCGGACCTTTTGATCAACCCCCATCTTAGGTGAGGATGATTCGCTGTAGCCTGTGAGTGCAGACAGTTTTCTGGCCTTGACGCGCTGCTGGGCTGCCAAAGAGATTCGGCCAGTCAGCCAGCGCAGCCAGCGCCAAGAAGTAGATACATGCTTGATATGAGCATGGTTTTTAATTAGGGGCCCTTTGGTGGACATCACAAAAGTGGGGGATTTGTGTCCACCAATCACTTTTCAGGGGGTTCCTATCAATGCTTGTTCCCACGCGCTGGCGGACCGTTTCGCCCGTTTCGCAGGCCTGCGCGATGTCCAGCACCACATCCTGGATCTGCGACTCGTCCACAGAGGTGCCATTCACGTCGTCCAGACTTCCTCCTACAGGCGCCAGCTGCATGGAAGGCACGGAAAAACATGCAGGGAACCACGGCTTGAAGTGAGTGACAATCAAAACCTGGTACTATAAAGGTCTACCCAGAACCATGTACAGGATTAAGAAGGCGGCCGCAGCTATTTAACGTTGGGATCGCCCCTTACTAACCTTCATCTACCCAAGTTTTGATTGTAGCTCAAGTGAGCACAATTCAACCACTGACTCAAAGCCAAAGTATCCGAAATGAGCCAACAGGCATTGAACAAAATGAGTTGCCGCAACGGCTTGCAGCTTTCTAGGGCAGGGTTTCAAAACTGCGTCCTCAACCAATGAATCCATGGGCTTGCGCGCCCTTTCGCGACAGGAGCACAGAAAAAGTAGCTCCAACACTTGATTGTGAGTTGGGCTGCAGCAATGAACTCCATACAAATGTCGTTGCTCAAACTTGGGGCACCTGGAAAAATGGTTGCTTTTCCTTCCGCAAACTCAAAAGGGGGTCCATCATTTAGAGAAACCCCATAATTTGGAGAACCCCCCCCAGGGTTTTTGAGAACCCCTGGGTTTTTGAGAACGTTCTTTGATTCTTGAGAACCAGACCCCCCCCCCCCCACATCCCAAGAACTGGTTCGCCTCCTAGGCGCGAGATCAGGCTCTCGATGTCGGCGGCAAAGGCATCCTCGTTCACCTGATGGATGGGTCGATGAAACGCGGCCTGGGTATACCCCACTTTATTTACCTGGTCCAATTTGCTGCTTCTTGTTGGAGTGGCCAAAACGGGTTAGATGGTACAGGGTGACAAAATACGGGGACCCAACGGTCTGATTTTTAGTTAAATGACCCTTTGGTGGACATCAAAATTCGGTGGGTTGTTTTGTCCACCAACCGCTTTTGAGGTGGTTCCCTATTAAATTTCACAGCCACATGCCATACGGGTAGTGTGTCAGCGGGGGATGGGGATGTCTTGTCAAAAATAGTTTGTAACCAACCAACATGGGTTGCCAAGGGGCAATGGAACCAAGGACTAAAACCTGCGGTCCCCTTTTCCTGGTGGTTTAATTTTGACCCATACCCAAAATGCCTTTTCGGAAATGGCTTCCGTGTAAACGAGGGTGAAACGAGTACCCTCAAAAGAAGACACGCCTAGACTCTTCCGAGTTGTCCACTTGAGAGCAACCAAGTGGGTGGCATGCGGCAATGCCAGCTGGCCCAACCTCTCGAAGGGATCCTTCCCAGGAGCTAAAAAGCTGGGCTCTCTACAAGAGATGGCGCGACCTTCCGAAGAAGACTTCCATTCGCCAGATCCGAAGCAAGATCGCGCAAACGCGCCAAAGTGCTTGCTGCGTTGCCCGGCCTCTCCAACAGTGGCGCCCATGGAGATGAGGGCGCTTGCCTTGGGCGCTTTACCAGCTGGCAGGGCAGGGAGGGCTGAGGGCCAAAATCACACAGTCACACGCCCTGGGCTTCGTGTTTTTTTCCGCCTCTCTGCCATCTCTGTCTGGATTTGAAAGCTCTGCGTGCATGAATTGAAGCTTCCCAGAGCAAACCGAGAGCGCGCCCCACGTCTCCTTGCTGGAAAGCTAATGTAATGTACCTGACTGTACGTCTGTGCGGCGCTAAAATGAGCGGAATGCTCAGGCATCCTTCTTGGCACCTCGTGCTTTGAGCTTCTTGACGGTCAGCGTGGCCGCTCCCAGCACAGACAGCACGAGGAACGCACCGAGCACCATCTTGGCCATGTCCGATCCGAGCACCTCCTTGACTTTGTCCATGTCTTGCAAGAAGAGCCCCAAGATCAGTGCCAACACAAGCACCCCAGCAGCCAAGGCGGCATAGATGAGGCGGCGAGGCTTCTCCTCCTTCTTTTCCGCCTTCACATCCTTCACATCCTTCGCCTCAGTTTGCGGCTTTGATGTCTCCATCTTGGCCTTGCCCTCCTTGACTTCTGTCACAGACGTCTCCTTGCTCACTTTGCCCTCCTCCTTGCCTTCCTTTCGCACGGCAGGCGAGGCAGCCCGAGACTTCTTGGGAGGCGCCACATCGGCGGGAGTCGCAACAGCCTCAAGCGGAGCCATCTCGAGTCAAAGGATCGACTATGACAATAGCAGCTGGGAGCTTTGAATGCTTCGGCCAATGGCTGCAGCATCAAAAAGAAGCTCGAGTTAGAGAATGGCAATTCTGGCGCAAGCTATGTGCAATGAAATTATACGTCGCATGATTCAATGCCTGACTCCATCAGGTGCCCTTTCCGAAAAATAAAGAGGTGAATGGAATAAAACCCATCAACCCAGTGGAACCCAACGATTTTCTTAAATCAAACTAACCCATCAAAATGACACCTCCGCGCCTGAAAAGATGAACCGAACCCAACAGGATCTGCTCCCCATGCCCCACCCAGACGTAAGGCCCCAGCCATGCCTCGGGCATCGCTGACCTCGATTGAAAATCCGAGCACGGGGGTCGTCGCCAGCGTTTCTGCTTGGAAACCCATTGAAAGGAGTCCATGAATCCGCGCAAGGCGTTGCCTTTGGTCCCTTGGGAAGATTGCGGGCTCTCAAAAAGGGGTCCCGACTTCCAGGAACCATGCCACCGAACTCAAGTGCCACAGGAGTTCCTCAATTGACCTCCGCAGGCATCAAGGCAGCTTCAACATCACCAAGGCAAAGCCACCGAGCCTCCAGCATTCAAAAACTGATCAGGTCTCCCTTCCAACAAAAAACAAGTCGTGCGTCATGACCAACACCTCGTCATCAACGAGCGTCCCTCTGAGTAGCTAGTCGTTCCCCGGGGCTCCAGGCTGCGAGAGCTGCGTTCAGGCGATCGATGCCCGTGGCCATTTGCGGGGACAGCCGGCCTCGTTGCTCGTAACTGGGCTGCCGGATTGCAGATCCCCCGCTAAAAGTCACTAACTTTAGTGGGTTGAAGAAACGACCCTACTCAACACGAAAAAGCTAAAAAGCTAAGGAACCGGGTGGCTGGGAGCGGCCAACACGGTGACCATTATGTTTCTAAAAAATGTCTTGGGACTTTGCGCTTTGATGCGAAGGCTTTTTGTAATCATTGCGATCAGTCGAAGAGGGCACCATAGCTTCCCAGTCGCACCCCTGTCCAGTCACAACTGCGCGTGCCTACAATGCCGAAATCGATGAATCCCACACGACCATCCTGGCCATCTTCAAACGTCGGCAGTCTCCAAAGGTGGGACTGAAACCCACCACACTTGCATGAAAAGCCAGATTGTGACTTCACAGCGTTGATCTGGTACCTGCTGCGGCTGCTGTTGCTGCTGCGGTGGCCGCTGCGTCTGCCGTTGCGGTGGTGGCGGTGGCGGTTTTGTCGTGCAGGCAACATGCTGACTGGTGGACTGGAAATTGTGCCAAAACACATTCGGCGTTGCCGCACTGACCTAGCTCTCCTGGATAAAAATTGGCCTGTGAGTGAGGTCGCTGGTACTGACCGGTCCACTTCGCGCATCCATTGCACGGTGCTTCCTTTCGCTTTCCTACCTACATTGGGTATGAAAAGAAAACATCACGTGCATTGCTCGCAGCCCAGAAACCGAGATCTTGCGAATCTACATGGCCATGAAGTTATTAGAAAAGGACCTTGAAAGTGGTGGCCATAAGCCCCAATTTGATGTCCACCAGAGGGTCCCTATCTAAAATAATCCCCCACGGTCCTTTCACTCAGACGCATCGCCACCGCTCAAAAAGGGTCCTCCAGCACCAGCAGGTTTCCTGCGTGTACGTCCGCGTGGAAGAACTCGCACTTCTGCACCGACAGCGCCCAGACCTTGCAATCACGGGAGGCATCTCCGGTGAACCACCCCCATGGATTAGGACCCCTTGTTTTCGCCGGGCTCTGTTCTTTTGAAGCCAAAAGTAAAGTACACATGTTGGGGTTCCCTGTTTAAAAAAAAAAAAAAAAAAATGATGTTGCAATTCAAACACGCGGGCCTTAGGCTGTCCGGTAAACCCAATCTCACATAGAGTTCTGCTCAAGGCTATGAGTACGTCGACCCAAAAAGGACTGGCCTTGCGCATCACTCTGGGCCCATGGCCACATCTAGTTCATGCAGGAAAGTTTCTGCAAAAAGGGAAACAAACAAATGGGAGAAGTCATGCTTGTTCAAAGCAATCCTAAAAAAAATGTGTTTGATCAAAAACGGGACATGTCAGTGTAGCCTGACAGCTGCAGTAGGTGAATATTGGATCTGTGTTGCCGGCGAAAACGTCGAACGCCGGGGAAAACCCATATGATTCTTGGCTGTGGGTCAGAATAACCAGGGAACCGCAGGTGGTAGTCCAAGTTCCGATTTACCAGGGCAAGCCATTTGGGGTACATATTTGATCATATTGACCCACAGCCATTTGAACATGCTCCGAACTCGGGAGCCCATGCGACCGAATGACCCACCGCCTCTGGGCTCGCTGCGTTCAAGGCGTTCACCAGCGTGCCCTCGGGGTCGCTGGTGTATTGCCTCGCGTTCGCCGAAGGCCACAGCTCACATGGAAGTCTCTTTTGAGGCGAAGGGAAATCCGAAAAGGACACCGTAGCAGAAAAGGACACCGTCGTATTTTTGGGTCCCCCGATTCTGACACATAAGGACATGACCCGCGTCTCTCGACCACCCACTGACTGGAAGCTCCAAGGCCCGACGCGCAAGCTTCGACGAATACATCAAATCAAGCTGTCAATGCATACCGTCCACTGCAAGGGGATGACATGGGGCACACTCGCCAATCTGCCCATTCATGGAAGGGTCCTCACCAAACTCCGAGGTACAAGTACATATCTTTGCGTCGTGAGCCAAGTCACTGGAATTGACAAATTGACAAAGAGCTTGGCAAGTCCTGTCCTCAGAGCTTCCAAACATGAGTACCAAGATATGGCTCTGGGTCAAGAATAGGCGCCCAAATGAATCCCTGGCAAGTCAAAAGACCTGGACCAAAACCTGCGGATTGTGGTGGTTTCACTTTGACCCACACAGATCGGTTTCAGCTTACTTGGGCCAAGGATTCGACGCATGAGCGCGGCTGCGACTGCGAATGGACCCGCGCGGTCCACTCACTCCCCGCCTGATTCTGTCGAGGTCCACCAGCGGCACCCCGCTCAGCCTCTCCATCGTCAGCACGCGCTTGGACCTCGGAGCCGAGCGGAATTTCCGGCGGGAGGCCGCAGGTAGAGGCGACCTACCGGGACCAAAGATCCTGGCTTTGGCCTTCCCTTTCAAAAAAAAACAAGAAAAGAGTAAGGGCTGGATCTCTACGTTTCCAAAACGTATGTTCTGTGGGGTATCTCTGCATCACGGCCTTGGATCTTCCAAAGGGCGACCGAATTTGAGTTCCCAAGGCGTGCGACCTGGAAGATCTCAGCATCCAATGTACCGTACGCCTGGGATCCAGGCGAGGCGTGCGGGTACGGCTTGGGCGCCGCCTTGGCAGGTGACACCATGCGACCCCCTCAAAAGGTGAGGGGTGCACTGAGGCCTTTTGTCTGCCAAGCCTCTCTAGAGAAGCTAGCTAGTGCTCTTGAAGCCAGCCTGTTTGCGCAAGGCCTCACAGCCCAATAAAATTTGGAGACACCCAAACCGCCATCGATCGCGCAATAAACTGGTTGAGCCTCAGGCAATTGGAGGTCCTTCCAAACTGCCAGAAATCAAGTCCAAATCGAGTTGCCTATGCCTTTTCTTTAAGGATGTCCACTCCATCCGTCGATCTGTTGAAGGCTCCGGAAGCGGCTCTCAGCCCCCAGCTGCAATGGCAGAGAGGCCGTTCTCCTCCAAAAACTCGCGGTACACGTCCAGGTTCCGCAGCTCCTAAGTCGCGCATATCGCTGGGAGCCTGAGATAAGACACCTACCAGTCAAGCAAACAAGAACCTGCCGCGTGCCATCCTTCTTGGGGACTACAACCAGGTAGTTTCCTCCTGATGGGTTGACATGTTTCGACCATGCAGTGCACTACTTTGAGCCCAAGGGATGGAGAGCGTGAGCCTGATCGCTTCAAGCTCCTTTGGGCAGCTGGTCCCGTCCCCAAAATCCAAAACAAAAATGTGGTCCCCCGGAAACCTGACGCTGGCTCTCCGAAATCCCCAAAGTCAAGTAAATATATATGTTTTTTTCTTTTTAAGGAGAAATAAAAAGGAAGAAAAAAACGCCATCCAACTGGAAGGGTTGCTACAACCCCCCGGCAGGGTGTCTTGAGACGTGCACGCAGACTGCCCCGTGGATTCTCCTCACGGAAGTCCAACTCCCCCAGCATGGACTGCCGCAAGTCCGAGGCGATGTCCTGGCAACTTTGCTTCGAGAGCTCGGAGAGAACGGGGCGAAGTCCACCCAAACCGGGAGGCTGGAGGGAGGCTAGGTTATATATGGCTGTGGGTCAAAACCCAGGAAACCCCTGGTGAACATCAAAATAGGTGGCAAATGGATGTTCATCCACCCCAAAATGGAGCCATAGGTTATGCCGCATGGCCATATCTAGCCTTCCCCACTTCCCAGCCGTGTATGCTGTGTGAAGTCAAGGCTCGTTTCGCCCAGTTGTCTGGAGCAGGGGCTGATACTTCCCCAAATCATGCCACGAGTACTGCCAACGACCCGCGGATGTTCAAGTCGGGGTTGATGAACCTTTGTGCAGTGCGGAGTGCTCAGACAAGGGCAAATAGACCGAGCAAAACCGCCATCAGACTCAGTCATGGTCACCAACCCCTCGTGAACTGATGCCAACGCCAGCCGAAGTCAGGCGACCTCAATTTGCCCGATACATCGATTTCCTTCTGCTGGGTGTAATGTTGACCCGGGATTCACAAACCCCTAGTTGATCAAGGGATGTCCCCTTTCGGCGGGAACCCTTCCCTCTCGTTGGCGTCACCCAACAAAAAAGCAAGAATTCAAATGGATGGACGTACGCCTCCCGACCTCAACCATGCCATCCACCGAAGAAAACGAAGAAAAGCAATGGCGGAAAGCTGGACCTCTCTTGGCCTGGCAGCTCCAGGACGCGCGAGGCCAGGTACACCACGCCTGACTGGCACTGGCCGCGCTTCACGGCCAGGACTCCGAAGCCTCGAGGCCCGGGCCTAGGTCGGTCTTCAGCACATCCTCGATGCCCGGCTTCTGGACCTGCGGGGTGGCCCGTTGGGAGGCTGCCCCGTCTTGTGGCTCAAAACGGAAACCAAAAGGAAGCCAAAATCCAAGTCGTACCCCCAGTGAACATCCCACTCCCCACTGAAAGAGACTAAAATGGGTGGTGCGCCTACGCCAAAATTGGTTGTGACGCACAGCCATTTGGGGGAATGGGGGGGGGGTCCCCCAAAACAAGACACACAAGTGTCCGTGATACACTGGCGGGCATGCCCCGGGCTCTTGCCCAAGACCCAAGACCCGTCGCCAAAAGCTTTCGTTCCCACGAAGGTCGCTCCTCCAACTTTGTCCCTTCAGCTTCAAAAGCTCCAAAACAAGTGCCCATGCCTCAGCTTAGTGGCCGTGGCTCCACCTCCGAAAGCACCCAGACTTGAAACATGGGGGGAAACCATGGGGTGACCATTGAAAAACCATCCCAACAAACATGTCTTTCACCACGAAATGGGGCAACTGACCCATGTCCAATTTGGGGCCGAAGGACAACTTACCCATGTTCATTTCTGGGCCCATGGAATATTGATCACCTTCCCACCGGGCGCCCCAGGCGCTGCCTTGACCACCACCTCCTGACCGTCCAGCAATCGCGCTGCGTGGACTTGGGCAATGGAGGCCGAGGCCTCGGGCCCAAAGTTTTGGGAGGCTGACGTGGACCCCTCAAGGCTTGGCATCTTTCAACCCAAGCTTGGCATGAAACCCGAAAAGTTCAGGGAGCTCCAATACTCGAATAATCCCGAAAAATTTCAGGGAGCTCCAAGACTCGAACCCCTCAAGCTGAGCTTTGAACTCCTCCAAGCCAGGAACAGGGATGCCGAAATTCACCCATAGCCGGCAAAGAAGTATCAACTACAGTAGCATTGGGTAGACCCGGCACCATTCGGGCCACCATGATCCGGGCAGAATCCTAATCCATTGAATCCCAGATCTCCATGGATATTGCGGCAGTCAACTTACTGTCGTGACGTCGGGCAATGGTGACTTGGTATTGCTTATCATCACCACAGCCTGAGTACCACGTGTGTGGCAAAAGATGGGAAAAAGAGAGCACCTTGCAAGCTCGAATCGCGAATGTGTGTGTGTGTGGGTGGCCAATGCATTGCAAGCCTGGCATGACAACCATGGGTACAAACCCCAGTCCTGCAACGCATTGGGCTGTCTCTTGTTCAGGGAACCTTCTTAGAATGGCTTAAGAAGCGAAAGAAACAATTTTGGATCCGCTAAAAAAAGACACACCCATTTCCTGCGCAAGTTGGGTGCCCCGCCAGGGGCGTAGGATCCACGTAGGCGAAGACGCCGCGCAGAGGGCGGCCTAACCTCAGCGAGGACGTGCGGCACATGAGCTTGCCCTTGAAACGAGCAAGAGACTCCCTGAAGCAAGAGAATCTCCAGCTTGCTTCGGAGCAGAACAGCCGAACCGCAAAGACAATTCGCGATTTGAGGGTCGAATTGCGCAAGATGAGAAGCTGCAAAGAATGATCGGAAAATGGCGTCTGTTTCGCGTTGGCAACTCGATGGCCAACACCCAGCTCATGAGGCCGATGCTCGCGCTCTATGATCCGCCTCACCTGCACAAGGTGAAGGCGGTCAAAACCAGGACATCTCCAATCCAAAAGGTCAGTTTCCACAACAGACTTGGAGTATTGCTGGTGAATGAACTACGGTTAGCTGCAAACTATTGAAGGCCCATGAAGCCAACTAGCCAAAAAGAATGAGCAACTGAGTACTCAATGCAAAACCAACCAGAAATGCCAACCCAAGCCTTAAAATCTAAGTGGCCAGTTTCCCAGCCTCCACGAAGGAGATCTTGCTGGTGGAATCCAAGCCTTGGCCCAACTTTCCCGTGAAGCTACCGCGCAAGCAAAACGAAACGTGCAATGCTGAGTGTTTAGAAATAAATCTGAAAGCGGGACTGCCACCAAAGCCAAGGGGCGGGTGCTGAATATAGCGAGTCAAGCATGGTGCCACATTAAGTTGCATGTTGATGCAAACGATGCCAGGCATCGCCACTGGCAACATACCCACGTGGAAACTTTGTGCCTGAGTGTCACACAGCTTTGGAACTCCTTCACATACGGAGCTGGAAAGACCGTTGGTGACGATGCGATAAACTGTCCAAGCCTGGCAGGCGCACAAACGGCTCCAAATGCATCAACGTCAACGGGAGAGAAAGCTCGTCGGACTTGGAGAGCTAGCCACGGATGCAGCACACATTCACGACGCCAGTCTGGTACCAGGACTGGGGTGATGAGCATGATTTGTGTGTGTCTCAGGACTCCGTGTGCATCCTCTCTGCCAACTTTTGAAAGGTCAGGCTGTGTATATTATAAGCGCAACCACAAGCAAAGGCACAACAAGCGCGCGCAGCACACTTCACATAGGTCGAGCCCAGCTTCTCAAACAGCTTTCGCAGCACTTTGGCAACCTCGGCACCCAAGCTCCGAGCCAGAGAAAGATTGACTTCGCTCTCTTTGCACGGCCAGAGATACCAAGGACAATCCCGCCTTGAAGCTTAGCCAACTTGAAAACACACTCTACACTCTACACCGATGATTGACCGCCTCCGAATCCCGCCCCCCCTTACTCCCCTTTCCAAGGCAAAGGTTTCAGGGAAAACCCCTGCCTGCCCCAGTGCCTCAGACCCTGGCGAAGGCTTCATCCAGCTGCGTTGGTGGCTTCTGAGCCACCTATGCAATGGAGCACGGCAAGCAAAGACGTGGCGCTATCGCATGGTCCTCTTCTTGCTGGTGCTCAGCAGAGAATGTGGGAAACCCAAGGGGTCCCCTTAAAGGAAACCACCAGTTGGATGGTCTTTGAGGGTCATTCCAACTCATTCCCTGCCTCTCGCACCAGCAACTTGGCCAACCCTTGACTTCCAGATGCGCCTCGCCTCTGCGGCTGTCTCCGCAGCTGCCTTCGCCGCCTCGCCGGCATTGCGCACCGCGGCGTGCGACCCGATGTTTTTTACAAAAATGCTCGCCCTCGCAACAAACCCCCGCAGCCCTCCAAGATGGCCTTGAACAAGGGCGTCTCAACCAGCAATCGCTTGCAAAAAAAAGAGCGGCGAGCTAATCGCATGCCAGACCTTTTTCAACAGCTGGTCGGAACGGGATTGCAACTGACGCAATGCCCAGTTTGGCTCCTGCAGCCTTCCCCAGCCCCGCAAAAGAAAATACACAACAGCCAACGAGCTGAGTCAGCTGAGTCACCCTGAGTCAAAGAAAAAAAAATAAAACATCAACTTCGTTTTTCTGAAGCGTGGCCATCAGCGCAGGGAGGTGCCTGCAAGCCTCTCTTGATGCCAGTCTCCATGCCGGTGGAGGTGGCAACTTCCCCCACCTGACAGGGCAGCGTGATCTCTGCCCCTTGGCCCACGGGGAACGCATCCCAGGCTCGTACCAGTTGCAGCCGGGAGGCGTTTCATGGGAATGCGGACGCAGGAAGCTGAATAGGCTTTGGGGGCTGGGGTTTGCCGGGCTGGGCTGGGGGGAACGAATGACAGTTGGGTGCACAAGCCACAATGCCAGGCTCGGGATTTGGGACTGCAGCGACTTCTCGCCGCTCGCCTCTTGCAGCAACTTCAAGGCATCCTCTGCCAGGGCCTGCGATGAGGACGACTCCCCCAACACTGCAAACGGAATGCCATGCAATGCAATGCAATAATTACAGGGCAGGGCAGGGCAGGGCAGTGCAATGCAATGCAATGCAACGCAATGCAATGCAATGCAACGCAATGCAATGCAATGGATGGAATGTGATGGGATGCCCGAGAGCCTGCCATAGCACTCACCTCTCTGCAATGTGCCATCGGTGCAACCCCAAGTCCCTTCGCTCACGAGACTGGGGCAAAGTCGCTTCCGAACGCATCTAGCGACCGAAGGTGGGGACAAATGAAAGGCGAGGGACATGGCACCAATCTGCGAACCACCCAAACACGATGCAGGCATCCTCGCCTGCGGCTCGCGGGATCCCACTGTTGCTGGTCTAGGCACGCCTTAGGTCTTGCAACCAACCCATGCGGTCAGGTGGGAGCCCTGTTTTGCGGTTGAAAAGGAAACCAAAAAGAAAACCACCATTCTGGGGTCCCAAACAAAAAGACACACCCATAATATAATGTCATGAGAATATGCTGGGCTTCCTTTCCCAGCTTTCACGTGCACAATGTGAACATTCCGTGAAGGTGCCCTAGCATGATCCAGCAGCTCGTGCGTCTCGCCCAAAAAGACTCTATAATGTGAGGCTGAAGGAAAGACAGGAAGACATGCAGTCCATTTTGGGCTCCGGGCTGGACGCCGGCGGCCTACAAGCATCGCTTGGCACATGGCTAGCCGCTCATCTCACAGCGGGCGCAAGCCGGGCACCCGCCTGGGTGCGAGGCCGCAGAACGACAAGCTCTGCACCTGGACTCATGATAGCACGCCAACTGCTTGAATCGCATTCGACTGCTAGCAGACCTTGCCAATGAGTCTGCAGACAGGGCACCGAGCTCGGCGGCTAAAGAAGCTTTCAAGGGCGCCGCGTCATATATCGCCCTATTCGGTGTGCTTCTGTGTGTGTGTGTGTATCTGTCTGTTCTGTGCGCGGTCCGCTCGTTGAGTTGGCCAATCCATGTCAACTCAGTGCGGCACGAGCCATGCGAAACCAAGCCTCAGCAAGCATGCACCGGTCCACAGGACGAACCCAATCTCAGCGTGTTCAAGGATCGAAGCCTTCTGAGGAATGTGATGCACAGGTTATGGTTTCGTGAATGCCACCCCGTCGTGTGGCGCCGCCTGTGTGCCTCATCACTTGCAATGTGCTTCATTTCGCTTGGTCAGTGCAAGTGTAGCGCACGAAGAAGACTGTGCAGCAATGAAAAACATGGGGTGTGCAACTTTGGCAGCTCCCGCCCCGCTCGAAAAAGAATCGTAGCTGCTCAAGCGCAGCACACGAAGTGCACTTAGTTCAAAACATTCATCACAAACCTGGGCTGTCCTCAGATCCCTTAGTCGGTTGGAAACCCTCCAAACAAACTAAAAAGCTAAAAGCTAAGGGGATGGCTGGGAGCCGCCAAGAAACGTCCCTTGCATCCCTTCAGGGAAAAGTTGCGGGCTGCTGAGCCGCCGGCAGGCAAGCGAGCGTGGGGAATCCAGCGCGGCGCCTTCTCCATGCCTGCGCTCGGTCTGTGGAGGTCTGTGGATGGACGAAATCCGCCTCTCGCACCACGAAACGAAACCATGGCTGAAACCGTAAGGTTGGTTGGTATTTGCCGGGGAATCGAATCAGAAACCAGGGTTCCTTCTAGGTGCTGCGAAATGGATTTTGTCACATCTGTGATCCATGGGGGTGTGGGCGCCAAGTAATTCCCCGCTCACGGGCCACCCACTGGCGCAGGCTGCTCGGGGCTTCCGAAGGGCAAACCATTCGAATTCGGATCCATATGGACAAAATCCGCGCCAGCCCCAGTTGGTCAGTTGGGTTTGGGTGGTTTATCAAGCAGTGCTCATACGGCTTCATCCATCCCAACTGGTGCCAAGTTCGATTTTGCCCATCCACATCGCTCCAAGTCTCCAGAGGGATGGCTATTGTTGTCCCTATGACTTAGCCGGATCCCCGCCTGCGTCATGGACTGCATTGTTAGGGCAGTTCCCCGGTCTGTGAGCTGTTTGCTGTTCCAAGGGCGAATGGGCCGGTAAAAACGGGTGACTCACATATCGGACCAATTCTAGGTTGGACCATGCGAAGGATGGGCGAGTTGCTGACTGGAACTCAGTCGTCTGGTCTTGTAGCTCATGGTACCACCGAGGCTTGTCGGTGATTGCAGTCGCCTTCTCACACATGGCAGCCTGTGGATCTGCTGTGGTACATGGTTCTCATTGCTACGCGAACGGCAAGCTGCCATGCGGCGTCTTCAGCACCAAACAAAGGCTTAATAAGTTGACCCCGGATTAATAAACCCCTGTTTATTGATATGGGGGTGTTCCCCTACAAAAGTGATAGATCCCCACTAAAACCAGGACACCCCCATATCAATAAACAGGGGTTTATTAATCCGCGGTCAACATTACAGATCACCACTGGGTGGTAGCAGCGACCTGTAAGGAATTGATCGAGATGCCTTCCAACAATTTACCACTCTCCAGAGATTCGACCAAAAGATCTCAGGATCTTCAAAAGACCAGTCAAAGCTCGCCTCGCAAGGAACAAAACAACGACACCACGAAGAAAAGCCCATGCCAGGACACCATGAGCAGGCTTCTTAAGCATCAACAAGCATTCGCTAACAAGAAAAAAAGACCGTCAGGTGCCTCATGTAGCTCAGTCTACCGAAATTTGGAAAGGCTCTAGAGCACGAATATGCCACCACTCTGTCCACCTTGTGAGTCAATGTGCCACTATCCATCGTTGCTCCGCCGCTGCAGGCCTCTCCAACCAAATGTGCAACTGGCTGAACCGCAAAAACAGTGAGGTGCAGCAGATGTGCCGATCCTTTGTTCTGATCCTTTGAGACCCTGCCCGCGCAGGTTGGGGCACTTCAGGAATGCGAGGACATAGTCAGAAAGCCTGGCTCGCTGGCAACAGAAATCAACTGTGCATGGCTGGGCAAAACAGCCGGTCGCAGCACAAGCGCACGCACGCACGCACACACACGCGCACACACACACACACACACACACTCGTTCAAAGCCACCTCATTTCGTGCTGCACGCCTCGTAGGCTAATGTCACAGCAAATCTTCAAATTGTAGCGCAGGGAGTGTCAAACCTGTATTTGCAGAAACAAGCTTACTTGCTGATCAAACCTTACCATACATGCGTTTGGCACTCCATATTGCCTGCTCTTCTGTACGGTAGGCGTGCTTCAAAAGTACCTGTACGGGCACACCTGCAACCACATTGATCTGCCGCACTTTTGCAGACCGGCAACCCTAAGGCACTAAAGCTGCCAACCCCTTGAGACACTTCAGTGAACAAGCAAAGCAGGATGCAATGCATGTTTCCGCTGAGGTCCTCTTGGATGGCTTGCGACTGTACAACTCAAAAGGCAGAGCGGTTAGGCGCCACCAAGTTTGCGCAGCACCTGGGCTGACGATGGTTCCTTTTTTCATAGGGCTCCTTTTTTCATAGGGAGAACCTTTTGCAGTCAGTTCCCACGGAGGCCATACATAGGGTTTTTGCCTCACAATAGGGGGACGGTGTCCTTCAAATCCACCCAACAGGCGGTTCCCGAAAAGAAGGAAACTAGAAGACGGGTGGCCCTGAAGCATTTTCCACCCTGAATCGGTCCATTTTTCCAACTATGCATTTCACTCTCTACTCTGTGCATGCCTCTATGCATCTCACTGTCTACCTTGCATGCCGTTATGCATGACCCTCTCTACTTTCCCGTGTCTACTTTCCTTGCGCGTGCATCTATGCTGTCTAATTTGCTTGCGCATGCACTTGCCTCAGTACTTGCCCTACGCATGCCTCTACACGTGTCACGGTCTACTTTCCCTGCGCCTGTGCTTGCCTTTTGCATTTCACTGCGCACTTTCCCTACGCATGCCTCTATGCATTTCACTGTCTACGCAACGACTTTACCGGAAGAACCCTTTGCAATGCGTGCAGGAAAAAAAGGATACAGTCAGCCACAGTCAAGGCACCACCAGCCTCTCCGTCAATTCACAAATCGTGGGATCATGCTTCAAGTCCTTCTTGCTCCAATCTTGCTCGTCCTTAAGCTGGCGCTTCAACTTCTGCAGGTCTTCCTCAGGGGGGACAACTTGTTCAACGGCCCTGGCCCGGTAAACAACCACCGTGGCTGGTCTAAATGGTGCTGGCTTGATCCACAGCCCATGTCCTCGAGCTGTTCGAGTTCCTCCATATCCGCCTCCACCTCCTTGCCGTGGGCCTTGGTGCGCTTTTTGTCCTGCACTTCCTTGCTGCGCAGCTCCTGCAGCCGAATGAGCCAGTTCATCACCTGCTCGTCTTTGTCCTGCTCCGCCTAAGTGGGAGCAGTGGCCCAACGATTCTTGCGAGCATGGTGAACTGTTATTCAGAAACCTCTACGGAGCGAGCGGCGCCTTTTTTTCACCATGTGTTGAGCCAACCTGCCGGCATGTTGTTGTGTGTGAGAACCCCCGCCTGGGATAGGCCTTCTGTGCTCAGGTGAGCCTTGCGCTCCGTTACGTTGAGGATCAGTTGCTCCAGCTCCTGCCGTGCTCTGTGCCCTCCATGAACCAGGCCGCAGTAAACTCAAGCGAAGGGGTGATTCGACCAGCAAAGTTAACGGAGGCACACGTGACTCCAAGCAACCTGGTGCCAGCAGCGCGCTTCGCCCGCAAGTTCCGAGTTGTCAACTCAGAAGAAAAAGGCCGGGTCTTTCTTCGACCGTCAAAAGGCAAACAAAGGCAAACCACCCGTCTTGGACGCTTTTGGAGACGCTGACTTGGAACCCAATCTGTCCCCCTCTTTTCGCTAACATGAAACTCGCTGCCCGAGCCCTTCCTTTGGTCCGTTTTGCTGGGCGGTTTCTTCGTTCTCCTGGTGTTTTGGCGCTGCACCTCCATGTTTTTGGCGGGGGTCTGCAAGAATTTTGAGCCACACCCAATCAGAACTTGTAGAGTTCTATGTAGGCCCTTCTAACTATAAACTAGGCAGAGGCACCGAAGATGGCCCTTTTTGGGCTTTGAGCCCGCCATTTATTTTGGTGTGTCTGTTTTTGGAAAGCACCCTTTCTGAGTTCGTTTTGTTTGGACATGAGAGGGGAGAACCGCCCAATTTTGGGGCTTCCCCCACGATTCAAGTGTCTCTTAACATAGGAACCCAAACAAACGACCGTGCCACGAGCCTCCCCCTACCTCAAGAACCGGCGGTTTTCCTTGGGGTTCTCCCTGCTTTCCGGTTCGTTCGGTTCGCTCCTTGGACTCTGAGGGGCTGAGGCCGTCGTGGCGCTGCGCCAGGCGCAGCACCAGCTGGCGCTCGCGCTGCGCCAGCTGCTGCACCACCAGCTTCATGTCTGGACCCTTCGGCGCATCCTCCATGGAGTTTCGGCGGCTACATGCACGGAAGTGGTGAGAAGCAAGTTGTTTTTTCAAAAAATGGTCCTTGAAAAAAGAACATGAATGGAGAATATGGCCATGCTTATGTCCACTGGTTGCCCATTAAAACTGGTAGCCTTCTTTGGGCCCTTAAGCGAATCCAAACAGTCTGGGTCTGGTGCTACTCGGGGCCCATTTGGATTTTTCCATTTGGATTTTTCCTCGGGATCCACAAAGCGCTTGGGGCTCAGCAAGGACTCCGAGAGCTGGTCCAGGCGGTCTTCAATGTCTTTGAGCTCGAAGTCGTCCTTCAAAGTTTTGTTGGTGTAGCCCGCCTTCTTCAACTCATCCCTGTACGCAACCACTGCCTTGGCCACCTGAGCCGTTTGAGTCGCAAACTGCATTGGCACAACAGTTGGTCTTTCTCTGTCATTCATATGGAGAAGTTCATTGCAGAACAAGCACCCCGGTGCAGAACATACAAAATCGATCGCGAGCGCAAAGACAAAATCAAGGACAACGTCAGGGTCCAACCAGGGCTCACGCAGAGGCCTCCCACACTATTGTTCTTGGAGTCAATTGGTGAGCGGTATTAAAGCGGTCTGGGCTTGGGCAACATCTTGTGGTCTCTAGATCTCAAGCGTCATCAAAGATAATCAAGAATTCAGGTCATGAACCGTTCATGCCGCTAAAACCATCAAAGCCCGCTGAGGTTGGGCGTGTTAGCAAGGAAGGCATATAAGAGCCTCATCGTTCACCGCGAGGGAAAGGGAGAGCCGGAGCTCTAAGGGGGATCGGACCTGCATGATACAAAGTCAAACATACGTGCGAATGCGCACGCTGCCCAGCCGAGTGAACAAATGATTGTCTGTCATGCTGCGATCTGCTGCGTCATTCGCACATGTGCTGCCTGCCATGCAAGCGAAATGATGCGCCGCACAGGTCGACAGCGCGCGATGGGCCATCAGCCATTGTTTGCTTGGGCGAGCTTGATGTTCAATCACGCCCATCAACGCCAAGCAAATCTGCCAATGTCAGATAGTGCTCGCCAGTCACCTGCCGCTACAGTGAGCTGCTTCGCCAGTGCGCTCCGGCCAACTCGCTTTGTTTGCGAAGATTGAAAGCCGACCAATTCTCTCGCACCTTGCTTCCGTCAAGACTTTCGGGGTTTGCAAGCAAAAGGAACTTTCCGCCAACTGGAGAGTATGTTGCCCCTCTCAGTTCCAGTGTAAGGGCCCACGTCTGCCCAAATTCGGCTGCTCGTCTTGCTGCTGCCACTGCTGGACGTAACCTGACCAAGTCTGCAATGCATGGATCTGCTTTGCACTTCTGAACGCACCCGTTCTCATACGCCAAGTCACTCCTCAACTGTCTTGCAACCCTTCCGAGTTCACCCGCGGATGATTCCAACAGTTCTCGCTCAGCCGCCGTTAGCCTTGCTTCCAGCTGCATCTTGCGATCCTTGTCAATGTTCACCGGTCGCACGCTGCGAACGTGGACGCTCATTGTAACATCTATGTGTCCGCCCGGAACTTGCCTGATCTCCCGCCCTCGGAAAGTGTAGCCAAAGCCGACTTCTAAGTGTACAGAGTGTCCGCATTCAAATATACAATGCCGGTTCCAATCGGGATTCCAGCATTCACTCTGCAGACGCTCACGAAGCGCTAGCCATAACAGCCGCGCTGCTTCTGCAAAACCGTTTTCGCCTTCTGCGCACAAAGAATCTGCCCTGAACTCAAGCCCGGTAAACCACCTCGGCAGGGGAGAAGATAAAGTTTCCGGCCTATGCCTCTACCAGAAAAGTATGCATTCTTGCAAACCATGCGGAAACCACAAGCTGCAGATAAAGCCAATACCAGGGATTCTTCCAAAGCTGAAACTGTAAGCGCACCCCATCTGTAGCAACCCAAAGCTCGGTCTTTGAAACCTTCAACCAATCAAGATATGGCTCGTCCGGCTTGCCGTCAGTCTTGTTGCCCGTTCCCATCTGGTCGGAACCACACAGTCTGACAACTCCCGTGTTTCCTTGACCAGGTCTTTGAGGGCCACCTCCCTGCGCGCTTCTTCCAAGCACTGCGACTCGCACACTCTCCTGACCATGCCAAGGTGTAACACTTGTTGTGGAAATCGTTTCTCAGTGCGTCAAAGCCGAAGGTGTCTTGGCCGATGCCCTCCTGATAAGTGCCATACTTCTCTGCAAAAGTCTGCTTTGCTTGCTCCTCCAGAAAGTCATCCTCTGCAACTGCAAAAAGGCTGAAACAAACATCTATGCTTGTAAAACGCGCCCCTTCAGATTCCTGCACCACTCTGCGTCTCGTCGCGACCTTGGGCTTCGGAGAGGCGGCACCGAGGACAAAGCTTCTTTCGTCAGCAGATCCTCCACAGGGGCAAGCTTTGCCTTTCGCCTCTCTTCTTCTCACGCTCCTCTTGCTTCTCTTTCTTCTTGTCGAAGACACCGTCTTGTTCCTGTGTCTTTCTGACTCGTAATCCATCTCGCTCTGATCCTCCTCTGATTCTGCTGCTGCTGGTTCTGCTGGTTCTGCTGGTGGTTCTTCTTCACGCTCTTGAAGAGCGAGCTGAGAAGGGTTAGACCGACACAACGACACGAGGCCCGTTCTCTGTCCGCAACTATGTCGTTTTCAGTCAGGTCCCAATCACTGGCGTGGAGCGGCGAGAGTCGTTGGCAAGGAATACTCCCGCGTCGTCTGGATAACCATCGTGTCAAACGTGTGGCGGGCGTCTCTGCTGCAGCTTGCGCTGCAACGCGTACCACTTCAGACTCTTGTGTTATTCGCAGGAACTCGAGTAGATCGTCCCAACACCCTGTGAGCCGGCGAGAAACCAGCTCTGCAAGTGAGGTTGTTGCGGGCTGCATTCACGGCGCCCGTGCCAATGTACATATCTTCTCTGCCTGCAAGTTGTTCCCTCCACAGCAAACGTCTCACAGCTGCTTTCCAAACGCCTCCAGCTCGCTCCTGCGTTGGCTGACATGGCAAGTAAATCTCATCTGACAAACGCGCGCCGGCTTGCATGACCTCAAATCCAGCGCGTTCTTGCGGGTGTCACCCAAGAGGCTGCAGACCTGAAAGCCAGCGCCCTTGTCAACCTCTGGCCCCGGATTGCTTGTCTTCGGACACGCGGCATCTCCTGCCCGCTGGCCAGGCAGAGCAGCAACTCCGTGCCTCATGAGTTGCCGCCGATTTTTACCGCCTCCAGGTTTGTTGTAGAAGTCTCGAAATTTCTGAACTTCACGCAGCTTCCGCCGCTCGTCTTGATAGCTCGATTGCTTCTTGCTCATCGAAGCGTCGGCCTGCAAAGTCGGACTGCCCCCGCGTGTGCGTGGCATCTTCCTTTTCCAAAACACCTCATCGCCGATGTCCCCGGTGTCCTTCGACTGCCTTGTCTTGCGCTGCATAACCTCACCGGCCTTTTCAATCCCCTTTCTCGCATAGACATTCTTGTTGGTCAGCAGGGTGGAGCACCTGTCCGCCCCCGATAAACGACATCCCTTCAATCCTCACTCATCGCAGAATTTTCGTCCAAATCGCACGTCCGAGGCTGCGCTGGTTGATGGGCTCACCGTGCTTCCTGACCGTGTTCTCGAAGAAGTAGTCCAAAGCCTCCGTCTTCCGAACGACGCCTTCCTTCTCGATCTTTTGCAAAGCCGCTGGTACCAGTTTGTAGCCGTCTACAGTCTTCAGCTTCTCAAGATCCAGGACCAAAGGTTCCTCCGCTCTCCATGCTTCACTGCGCAAGCCGTTGATCAGCTTCATCGCAAACCGCTTCCCCTTCCTTCTCGCTGCCGCCGCCTTCCAGAGATCCATACGCAAACAGCACCTTCCGCCGATATTCCTTCATCAAAAAACGCTACCTCACCAGGAAGTGAAATGAGGAATACACCATCGACGATCTTGTTGTCGGAGCAGAAAGGTTTGCTCTCTTGGCCAGCACCGGAAACCACCAGAAACCGGATGCGTTTGCTCGCGCCAGCTTGATGTTCAAACACGCCCATCAAGCCAAGTTAATCTGCCAATGTCAATAGGGCTTTGGGGCCTTCAGATAAATCTCACAACGCGCTCGAACTGAAAACCATCACCACTATCATCATCCTCATGTCATGACTTGCGGGCGCGCGCGCTGGCTGACTCGCTCGCGCTGCTTGGCCTTGCCTTGCTTTGCTTTGCTTTGTTTTGCTTTGTTTTGCTTTGCTTGCTTTACTTTGCTCTTTGCTTCGCGTCTCTTCGCTTCGCCTTGCTGCCTTATTTGCTTGAATTCCCAATCCGAGGGGGTTTTAAAACAGCGAAGACACACAACTGGTTTTTGGAGCAAACCGTTCATGTTTGCTTCGCTGGCCTCTTCCAGCTCAGTGACGTCCTCCGACGCCACGCAAGGCACGCTGGTGGTGCCACGCCGCGACTTCTCCGAGGCCACCTTCCTCTCGAGCGCCGCGATGCGCACCCGCCAGCTACTGCGCAGTGCTGCGTCCTCCCGGGGCGGCTCCTTCGCCTTGGCGCGCGCGCGTTCGGCCGCTCTGAAAGAGACGCGGAGATGAAGAGACAATGACAAGGTCGCCCAATTTCTCCAAACACAGAAGAAAGAACAAAAGAGTTGGGAGATGAACCAAAATCTCTTCCTGAAGGGTAAGCAAACAGAAGGAAAATTCGAAACAAGTTGGTTGGAGGCCTGGAGCGGCTCTGGCTCCAGCTCCTTGAGCGCTGCCTCCGCCGCTTGCGCCAGCACCGCTGCCTCCTCCGAGCTGGGCCCCTGCTCCATCCGAAAGAGGAAAGCCGAAATCCGAGACGCCTTGCAGGCTTCTGAGCTTGAAACAACTCGGGCCAAAACGCGGACACACGCAGATTTGGTGGAAGCAACGAAAGTACAGAAAAGCTCTGATTCTACCTTCATGCCAGCATTGCTGCGGCACTGCTGATGGATGGGATCATTCTGATCACTGCGACTGTCTTTGTCTGTTTGACTCTGCAACGGTGACTTGCTTTCTGTTGCCACTTGTCGCCTGGCACGACCGATAAACTCTGCCAGCTCAACCACTCCAAGTCCTGATCCTCCGCCATGATGCCTGGACAAGACTCACATCTGGGCTTCACATCTCCAAGTCAGCGAAAGCAACCCGAGGAGCGACTGCAAATCCAGGGACAGAAGCAGAAGATTCCCCAACTCATTTGACATTCGCCGGCTACTACAGTAGCAGCTCTGTTTCAAGGGCCAGCGACGGCATGCCGCAAGCCACCTTGCGCTGTCATGTTCAAGAAGACTGCAACGCCCGGGTCGGACGTCCACTACGCGCGCACCTAAACTCCCGAGGGTTGATTCGAGTGGGTGGTTTGAAGAAAAGTTACTTGAAAAGGGAAGAAAGAGAAACAACAGCGGTTCAAGGCGGGACTGAAAGAACTTTGAGAAAATCACGCACAAGCAATGCTACCAGCTATGACCACAACATCGCTTTGTTGCGCGCAGTATGCCGGGGGATTGTCAGGGTTGAACTCAGACTCAGCACACACGCACACACACACACACACACGCACACACACGCACACAAGCACACAAGCACACAAGCACACACACATACACACACACACACACACACACACACACACACACACACACACACACACACACACACACACACACACACCCACGGCACGGCACGGCACGGCACGGCACGGCACGGCACGGCACGGCACGGCACGGCACGGCACCGCACCGCACCGCACCGCACCGCACGCACGCACGCACGCACGCACGCACGCGCACGCACGCGCACGCACGCGCAGGCACGCAGGCACGCAGGCACGCAGGCACGCAGGCACGCAGGCACGCAGAAAGGCACGCAGGCACGCAGGGAGGCACGCACGCACTCACGCGCGCACGCACGCACGCACGCACGCACGCACGCACACACGCAGGCACGCACGCACGCGCACGCACGCGCGCACGCGCACGCGCAGGCACGCAGGCACGCAGGCACGCAGGCACGCAGGCACGCAGGCAGGCAGGCACGCAGGCAGGCAGCACAAACAAACACAAACAAACACACACAAGTTTGCAGCACTCCTCAAGAGCCATCTGCTCATCTTGCGCGGGCCAGTCAAGCACGGCTCCCGCACCCAGCCTGGACGCGACGGGAAAGTATTAACAAATGGACTCGGAGCCAAATCCGGCGGTTGCCGTTGCCCAGTTGCCCAGTGGCATGAGCTGCAACCAGGTCGTGTTCCACAGAGAGGAGGACGCAGAATTGTGAGCAATGGAAGGGTTTATTCTCCATTTGCAAAGGGTCTGGGGGTGCCACAAACAGGCCTATGTATGCGAACTGGTTTTCAACCACCTGATCAAAACATGCACTTCTGAAGCAACCAGGTTGAAAGCCCCAACCAAGGCACGCCGCGAGCTCAAAAGCGCTCGCTTTCAAGCTGTCGCGAGACCTGTGCTCTTGAATGCTCTCACTTTGAGTGGAGGAACTTGGCGTGCACCTTCACAACCTTGGCGGCACCGGTCATCTTCTGCGCCTGCGCCATTCTCGTTGCGGCACAGAGAGCCAGCCGTCATAAGGGCATGGGTCAAAATTAAACCACCAGGGGACCGTTTACCAGAGGTTCCATTTTGGGTACCTATGTTTGACCCGCACCCATAACACTCGTGTACAAAAAGGGCTGCGAATCGCCCAAATCCGACGGATCCGACGCTGGCCTTCTCTTTGGGCGCTTTCTCCGCCTCCGCCTGCTGGATCTGTTGCTCCAAGGCAGCCACCTGACGCAACTGGCCGGGGCTTGGACGAGGAAGGCTGGAGACCCAGCTGCTTGGAACCCCAAAAAACTCAGGAGAAAGGCTGTAGATCCCACATCCTGTTGACACATTCCCCACCTGCTCTCGCTCCATGACCTTTTCGTCCTCGATCATTTTCCGCAGCTTGGCCGCCTGTGGAAAAGCAGCGGCAATTCTTTGCGTGCTGTTTTGCCCATGTAAACACAGTCATACAAGTCCCTGGTGCTGCCCATCTCCACCCCCCATCAGAGCCCGACGCATCAAAACCGCATGGCCAAGGACGAAAGCACAAGCGCAACACGTCCCCATGCCTTCGAGCAGCCCACAGCCACAAAGCAAGCATGCGAAAATGTGCAATGCGGAGGTGCTCAATAATTTAGACCATTTGCCTTGTGATTGCACGAACTCAGCCACAAGGGATTGTAAAGTACTACCTCCCGGTAGCTTTCTCCCTTGCGACAATGCTGAGAATAACCTCTGCTCGATGAGCATGAAGCACAAAACCGATTGGGAGCAATATGTGGGTGTGCTTCACGTTTGAAGAGTCAGAGGACCCCAGGCTTTAGTCTACCAGGGTTCCATGTTGGGCTCCTGTTCTTAAGCCACACCCGCGGGTCCAGACAATTTGAGACATCCATGTGTTTGTTTGTCCTGTATTTTCGGAGCATCGAGTTTCGCTCAACTCGGGATCAAGAACACAAACAGTTGGGTGTGTCTATTCTCAGGGGACCCCAAAAAATGGATTTCGGTGTCACAAGAAAATCCCCGGCCTGGTGCTCAGACTGGCGCTGCAGCGAGGTCATGCCTCAGTCGAGTTCGGCAAGCGGCGACTGAGAAGTCCAGACGAAACCGGGGAGAAAAAAAAAAAACGAGCCCAGGGTGGAAAGTAGATGATACGCTTCTATGAACTCTATGCAGGTGCGTGTTTTCCCCAGCAGCTGAAAGCTTTGGGGCCGCGAGCGTATTTTTTGAGGGGGGCGAATTCCCCACCAAAAAAATACACCAGCATAGACCCCAAGAGCATATCACGGCTACGAACCATGACGCAGCATCCTAGTGGCTCCACCTGCATCATGATGATGCTGACAGCATCGTGATGATGCTGACAGCATCGTGATGATGCTGACAGCATCATGCTGATACACCAACCACGAACCTTTACGCGCCAGCCGCGCTACATTGAAGGCAGAGACGACGTCCTAGTGAGTTCGACAGCATCATGATCGTCATGATGACACAGCCCTGAACCATCTTGCGACATTGTAGTGAAATTTCTGCATCGTTATGATGATGTTGACAGAATCATGGCGCTACATTACTTGCGAACCATAACGCGGCGTCGACATGATTCCAGCAGCATCATGGTACGGTTGGCGCCATCATGATGTTACACCAGCCACGAAACATGACGACGACGTTCTAATGGTCAATGGGTCCCCTCACAAACTAACATGAATGGGTGAATCGGACTCGCTATTCTCATGAATACTGACCTGGCTCTGGTTTTAGAAGCATGAAGTGGAAACGCATGCCTATCTGAAACCGCAGCTGCGATTCCGCAAGTGCCGAATCTGGCCTCTGAAAATTCAAATTGAACTCTCACAATAGGGGTCCTTAAAGTATTGACTTTCAAACTACCAACCAAAGGAGGTCAAGGGCTCTCATATTCGAAGTGACCTCAACAGGGCGAGCAGACTCGTTCCCTCGGTTGCCGCACCCCGGCGTTCCATCATGGAAGCTGCCTTCAGCTTCGCCTGCAGATGCTTCTCCTGATTGAGGCTAATGAGAACATGCATACAAAAATGGATGGTCTACGTCATTTCTAAACTATACGACAGAGAGACATGTATGACGTTAGATTCATAGGGTATGATGTACAATGTATACGTAAAACAAACGTGTGTGTGTGTATATATATATATATATATATATTTATATATATATATATTATTTCTACATGTACTTTGAGCTAGGTCCCAGGTCCATGTCTTCATGGAGCGCAACAGCCCAGTGCAACCCTAGGAGCCTCACGCTGAAACCACGGTCCCACACTCGCAAACGTGAAAGTCACAAATGGAACGGTACCCGCAAGATTTGGATGCTTGCCATGGAATTGCTGCTTTGTATCTCCACGCCTGCTCATGCTTCTCGGCCTCTGCTTGCTGCGCTTTCTTCTCCGTGGCTTGTACCTGCCAGCCGCCGAGACTCGATCCGGGATCTGATGGATCTGTTTGGTCGTACCTCCTTCTCCACGTGAGCCAGTTCATTCTTCTTGGATGTCAGCGCCTGAGCACATGCGCAAGACATCCAGGGTCCATGGAGCTTGATATTGCACTAGTGGCTCACAACCCACACATCTTCGCATCCCATCCGTAGTCTCAAACTGATCTCACCTGTTGTTCTTTTGCCGTGGAGTGTCCCTTAGGTTTCCCAAAACCAAAGGGACCGCAGGCGACCAGCGCCTCTTCCTCAGAGATCACCTCCTGCTGCAGCTGCTGCAGCTTCGTCTTGGCGGCGCTCACCTTCTCGGACGAGGCCTCAGAGACCGGCCGAGAGCATGCCATTGGCGCCCCCCACCTGAAACGGGCACTGCGGATCCGGAAGCCGTGCGGGGAGTTTTTGGAGGAGGTCATGTTTTTTCCCATCCCTTCCTGCTTGTGAGGTTGCAAAAAGCCTTTCCAAGCGGTAAAGACGGCGCTCGACTCGGAGTCGACTCCGCGCTCTTGTGATGAGTGCGTGCCTTGTGCCTTGGCAAGACAAACACGCTGCGGCGCCTCCCGCTGCTTCTGCAAGCCGCTCTCCAAATCCTGCATCTTCTGCTTGTACTCGGCAACCTTGCGGTCTTCAGCCTCCGCATCAGCACTTTGGTTTCTTGAGTATGCGTTTTCATGTCACTTTGTGAGGCATGACGCCCGGCAGTGGCGTGACGAAGCAGAGTCGCAGTTGCTCCTAAAGCACCCTGAACCGTCTTTGACAGACTCATGACCCCAGCCGGCTGGATCAACAGCCTTTCTGTCGCTACTCAGTCTGGGACCAGGTGCATACGCGAGAACCGTATGGTTGTCACAAGAAGTAGGGCCAGTTGCATGACCCCTCTCACAGGCCCCGGTTAAAAGGACGTCGTGGATCGACGGCAGTGCAGCTACAGTGATCATTCTCAGCGCGAGCATAGTGATGTTGCAACAACTGCACACGGTGCAATTACGTTTTCCTCCTACAATCTTTGTTAACTGTGGCTCCAATTGTGTTGACCCCCCTCCCAACACTCCAAATTGAAAACATCAAACCTGCAGCCCATGAAGAAGTCATCGTCATTTCGCTTGGACCGGCATCTTTGACCCCGCATAAACCTCACAAACGCCGGGCTTCCTCCGTCTGAATCGAACCGCATCGGGACCCGGGACCCGGCCTCTTTGGTCCGCTTCAGCTCCTGCCGCAGCTGCTCCTCCTTCTTCGACTCCACGGCCGCCTGAAGTGTTGGGCCCCCCAAAACGCGCCGAAAAAACCATATGGGCGAGACGCAGAAAGGGTGGGCTGGGGGGTCTCCACATTTCTTGGAGCTCCAACTCATGTATTTTTTGCAGATGGCGCTTACACGAAGCCCATGCTCGAGAGTTCCCCGTCTTTCCCTATGGCTTGCGCTCTTTGGGTTGCTGCCTGCCATGACCGGGCCTGCAAGCGCCCTAAGGAATGGTGACTCCACCCCACAGAGACAGGGTTCGATTGGCGCTCGCTCACGCCCAAATCCTGCAGGTGCAGTTTGGCTGCAAGGGGATGTGCGAAATAGGCGACGCGGAAGCGTCCCAGCGTGGCGCGCGAACTTGACAAACAGCGAATGTACGTCTGTGGACCTCATGGCGTGGTGCAAATCTTCAAGAACGAAACCTCCATCCTGACAGTGCTTTTCATCTGACATCAAACATTTGCCACCTGCAGGTCTATCAGGAAAAAGGGCCAAACTGTGGTACGCGCGTGTTCGCCGTGAAGCAAGAAGGCGGTCACCAGCTCGAGCATTTGTTATGGTACACAATGGACGCAAATATTGGACCATGCAAATGGATCTGTGAGAGTTGCAAAAAGTACTCAGGGAGGCCTTCCGCCGCCCTTCAGCCGCCCTTCATGGGGTGGCCTTCAGGCCACGCCCGCCTGCTGCTTGGCGACCTCTTGCTCGTGAGAGAGCTCCTTTTCCAGGCGCTTCACCTGCGGCCAGAGCTTGTTTACTCCATGCGGCTGGCCATGCCGGTTTTGGGCCTCGCTGTTCACATGACCTGTGCTACACTGTTCAAGTTTGCGCAAAGGTGCGGCAGGGCGGCACCCTTATAATTCAATCGCATATGCCTGTGGCTCAAAAACCGGTTCCCGAAATGGGTTGCCCTGGCAAGTGGAAACATGGACCAAAACCTGCGGTTTGCCCCTCCGATCGTTTCATTTTGAGCCACACCCATATCAAGTGTCCTGCCATTCCGCTTTTTGTTGCACCCACCTTCTCCATGATCTGCCCCTTCTCGATCTTCACCTCGTGCAAGGTAAACCCGTTGGTTGACAACAGCCAACAGTGCTACTCTAAATCAAAGGCGGCAAGGGGTCTGGATGTTTTCTGGGATTTGTGTCCCGTTTGTGTCGGGAATGTGTCCTGGATTTCCCTGAAAAACGGGGAAAACAAGTAGCCCTCCGCCGGCAAGAGCCGCTAGTTTCCAGTTCGAGACACATTGAGGAAAGTGATACCTACGGCAATGTCTTGCTGACCTCAGAAACAGAAACCTCTACGCATCCTTTCATGTATCCCAAGGTCTCCAATATTTGCTTGGGACTATGTGGGTGGCTCGTGGTTTTTTGGATTTGGAACCCCAAAACAACGGTGGGCTTTCCTTTCGGCTCACCTGTAAAACCGCCAAACAAGGAATACCAACTCCAAAAAAAAGACACACACCCACTGGCCTCCTTATAACACAATGATCAAAGTCACCCCGAAGTGATGGGTTAAAGGGAAACAACCCCATTTTCTGACTTTGATAACCCCTAGAAACGGTCAAAATAATGACCCCAGACCCATGTTAGCTTCCTCGTTCAAGCCATCCAAGGGGGCCCCGAACTTCTGACGAGCGCCTGCTGCGAGATCTTCTGTTCCTGCTCCTTCACCTGGATTCTTGAAGGAATCGTTTTAGTGTTATTGCTCAAAAGGAAAACCCAGAAAAGAAGATGTTGGGAGTCTCCCAGTTTGGAAACATACCCATCTCCTTTTGGGAAATGGACCCCCGTTTGGAGAAATGGGACGCACCCTTTGGAAAACATCCATGCCATCATCGGTTGGTCATCCAATCAAGAGCTCACAGGGGGCTGTTGATGAAACAGCTGGACAAGGGTGAGCACAAGCCAATCCCGCAACCTGCGGTGTTGCAAGCTTCCGCGCCTCCTTCAGGTGCTTCTTTTGCACCAGCTTTACCTCTGCAGGAATGAATCAGACCCTGCCAACTCCATGTGCGGTCAGACATAGCAGCTATATTAAATCCCAAGCCAAGACGCACGCGCAAGCATTGCAAATCTGGGTGAATCAAACAACCAAAAGTCCCATCCGTAGCCTGCTGGTGTGCGAAGCGAGCAACTCATGACTTGCAGTATCTGTATATTGTGTGCGATGGGGGGGGTGGGCGGTGCAGCATATTGCCTGCAAATCGCAACAGCTGCAAACTTGTGGCTCCTGCAAGAAATCAACAAGTTGGGACGATCAGGATTCAGCAAAACGCGCACTCTCACCTCAGTCAGCACTTGCATCCCGCCTGCTCATCAAAGGCCTTTTTGGCTTTCTCAGCCTCACAACTCTCAGCACGCGTTGCACGCGCCGACTCGCCGACTCCAACGACGCCCAGCTAATGGAGCAGCACCCAAAATCCAGGAACTTGTTTGGTTTGTACAGGCCCTATTATATCCCCAATCAAATAGTAGAAACACCTGCTAAAAGCGGCCAACAGAAGTCTTAGGCACTGCTCAATTGGGAGTTTAGCATGGTGTAAGCATCCGATGCACCACAAACTACCTTGAACAATGCCTGATCTTGAAATACCAATGCTTGGCAAAGGCAGCAGCCAGCATCAATCAGATTGCTCTGGGAACAAAGAGAAAGTCCGCTTGGATGTGACATTGGATTGCCTCCCTTTGTGACTTCGCTTTACCACGCTTTGTCGTCTGGGAAGATGCCCAAAACGAGGGATGGCAAAGGCCAGCAAGGTTTCGGCTCTCCCGACATCTGGATCTGTCTTTTCTTGGAGTTGGTACCCCCCTCCCATGATTTGTGGGTTTGACTCATTTAGGGGGGGCCAGTCCGCATCCTAAACTCACTTCCCCAGAAAAGGTCACCAAGCTTCTTCTTTGCCAGGACGTGAGCAACTTTAAAAAAAAGATTGGACAAACCACGGGTTCGCCCCCCAGCTGGCGTAGAGCGGCTGAGACGCGGCTGGCTTCGCCCCCCCCGCCTCCTCCTTCAGCTGCGCCTTCGCTTTTTGGAGCTCCTCGGACGCCTCCCGCTCCTCGGGGCTTGCCGAAGGCCCCTCCGCGGTTCGACTGGACGGCTCCGACGGATGGCCTTGTTTCTGGCTGCTGCGAGAGAGGCAGGGAATGAGAGCATGGAAGGAACCCAAAAACTTGCCCCCTTAAAGAGGAAACCACCGGTGGGATGGCTAGGGGTCGGACTCCATTTCTCCTTCCCTGCTCTCGCACCCACAAGCTTTCGGGATCCGGAAGCTGAAATGGCGCCGTGAACCTCAAAAAACACCGTTGAAGTGCTGAAAAAATGAGACGCGGGCTGCGGATCACATGGAAAAAACATTGAACATTGGTAGGTAGAGAATTACCGGAAGGTCGGCGGGCAAAGAATGCGCAAGATGTGTCCTCGCAACTTCCAATTGTCATGAAAAGCTTCCCCTCCATGATTGCCACTTCAGTCAGCTTCCATGGCGGATTGAGGCCACATGCACGATGCATGCAACGCATGTCTACGTGCATACAAATTGTAGGCGCATGAGCTCCAGCATCCTCCCCTCTCCCTCCCCACAATCGTCTGCCACCCCCCCTCCCCCCAGCATCCCCACTTGTGAAGTAGTTTGGGCTGGTTTTAGGTTGGTTTGGAGTTAGTTTGGGGCTAGTGTAGCGTCGATGCAGGTCGGGTTCAGGGTTGATGAAGGTTTGATACCATGGGGCGAGTATGCTGATTTGCTCTACATATGAGGGTTGATCAAGAGGTCCCTTGCATGGATGACCACTAGGGGAACCACTATTGGCCAGCCCCAGCTGGGCTGCCCCGGCGTGCTGCTCCGCACGCTCGCGCTCAGCCGCCAGCTGCTGCTTGGCCGAGAGCTCCTGAGCCAAGCGTCGGTCAAGCCATCTGGGGACCCCTGTTCCCCCACGTTTCCCTGCTGTGGATGGACGAAATCCTGCTTAGGCGGTGCAGGATTTGTCCATCACAGTGCGCTTCCCGATGTTTCCCGACGTTTCCTTATGCTTCCTTCTTGGCCTTCCAGTCACACGCGCCGACTTCTGAACTTCTGGCTCTTCGGCTTCCATGCAAAAACTCCGGGATGAAGGTGATGAAGGCGATGCAGGTGTTCAGGATTTCCATCAAACCAAGCATAGAAGTTGGGCATCACAGCTGGCTATGTGCCAGGCACGGGAACCTACTCGGACTGGGGTGGTCTAACAAAGCGGCCTTTAGAAGGAGGGGAAACCTTGTTCAAGCGCATCTTCGAGGCACCTTGGCCATCGCCCTGCGGTCCCCGCACCTTGTGATAGCGCTGTGATACTGCGGATGTATCACAAAGTCGGGGGCCCACAAGGCTGGGCGGACAGATTCCTGAGACGATTTTCCGGGCGGTTTCCTGGCAGCTTCCCCTTTTCAAGCCAAAGGATAGGCAAACCCACGCGCCAAAAAAAAAAATGGAAGAGCGGTCTGCAGTCTCTGGCTCATTTCGGCTCCTGCAACTTCGCCTTCTTCTCCTCCTTCTCCAGAAGCCGCCTTGCCGCCTTGGCCTGAAAAAAAAAACAAGGCGGTTTCGAAGGTATGAGGCATGGAAATTGACAAATTGGTCTGCGTGTGTGCGTGTGTGTGTGTGTGTGTGTGTGTGTGTGTGTGCGTATCTAATCTATTATATATATATATATACACCTAATGATTGTTTGTATACTTGTTCCTGCTGCCCTGTGTTAGGAGTCCAGCAGCCAGAAGTTAAGTTTGCATCGCGGGCAACTGATAACATTCGGGTCAAGTTGCGTTGCCTTTGAAGTGATCCCCTTAGCCAAATGTAGCGTTCTAGTGATCCCACGATGGCCAAATGTTGACGTCCGTGTCAATTTGCGCTCCCTGTGAAGTAATCCCACCATAGCCAAATGTTAAAGTTCGGGTGCAGTTGCGCTCCGTTAAGTTGCGTTCCCTTGGAAGTGATGGTTTATGTTTGGGTCACGTCTTTGAAGGCAGATTTGAAGAGCTACGGCGCATCACGCGAAATACGAGTCTGATTTGGGGGGGCAAGAGCATGTCGTTGCAAGATGCTATTCGAGCGTCCACTTTAGGCCTTGGACACCTGCCAAAAACTGTGCATTCTCACCTCGCCAATACACGGCAAACATGGTTGCATGACACGATCGTTTCGCACGTCTGTCTTTGAAGCCTCTCGGAACTCTCGGGTTCCTGGTGTGCCCTTTTGAGGGTATCCATTTGGCGCTGGGTCAAAGGGAAACCAAAGAGCCACCATTCTGGGACGGGTCCCCTAAAAAACGATATACCCACATAGAGAGAGAGAGAGAGAGAAATGGAAAAAACAAATATCTGATCGAAGTCTACCAGGCCAACTCCGTGCCTTCCGCTGCAGCTTGAAAAAGCGGCCCTCCAGCGTGGACACCGCCTCCCCGGCCAGCGGAAGGCCCGGTGTCAAGCGAAGAGAGCTGAGCTTACTAAGCTTGGTGTCCAGATCTTTCATGCTCGCCTCACCTGCGAGTGACTCCTATCAACTCGAACCAGCTGTCCAGAATCTCTCCGCTTCTGGAGGGAGCTTTTGCATCGTATGGTGCAGGTTCTCCCAGAGACCTCCACCCACCTCGCCTCCACAAAGACTTGAAGGCAACTCTCAACGCCGGCGCCTTGTCCTTGCCCGCCAGCAAGGCGGTGAGGTTCTGCATCTCCTGCTCCCGCACCGCCTTCTCTTTGAGCTCCTGGCAGTTTTCTCGAACAACTGCGAGGTTGCTCAAAGCGAGATAGGGTCCCCAACATTTACCACATCTTCCAAAAACCAGGAATAAGACTTGGATCCCCAAGTAAAGGATCTTTATCATGGTGAGCTCTTGAGCTCGTTTTACTCCCGAAGCCCACCTGTTTGAATCGAACACAAGTCCGACCATTGCTTTCGGACTGCGGAAAGCATCTCTGAAGAACCTCCAGGCGCGTGCGGATGTGCGGCAGAAGAGTTCCCTCCACCTCTCCTGCTGGTAGCTCTGCTGCTCCTTTTTCAGCTCCAGCTGCATCTGCTTCGCCTGGAGCGCCGGTTTGCTTCGTTTTTTGAGGATACCTTGTTTTTGTGGCTTTAAAGGACAATCAAGAGAACAACCATCCCTCTTCTTCTTTTTTGTGCTTCTTTTTCTTTCTTTCTTTCTTTCTTTTCTTTTTGGGGGGGGTCCCCTGCAAAAAAGACACACCCAAATCTACAAGGTCGATTTCTACAAAAGGGCAACCCAGGGCCCAAACTTCTGATTCCGCAAAAGAAAGAAAGAAAGAGAAACGAGCCTCATGCCTCAGGCAGCCCCATGCAAGCCTTATTCTGCTGCTCGAAGATCTGGACGTTGAGTTTGGTGACTTCCTGCAAAGCTGGGCTCTGGCCACAAGCTGTCCGAAGCAAGTGAGGAGCGCCCAAAACCCATGGATAGATGTCTGGTTATTCTGCCCTTCCACGAGGATCCCTAGCAAAACCATGGAGGACCAGCTGGAACCCACCCACCCAACCACCCACCCACCCACCTGCCCACCCTCCCACGCACACACCCACCCACCCACCCAATCCAAATGCTTGCTTTTTGTAGGGTATAAAGAAAGAGGGTATTTGGAGTAGGCCAAGTTGGGCCTTTGGATTGATGTAAACCCCTCCTTGTAGAAAAGGGCAAAAGCGGGCGAAGGGCTCATGGGAAACTCGAGCCACACTCACCTCCCGCGCGAAATGTCTCCCATGTCCGTCCTGCTTCACCTGGTGCAGCTCGTTGTCCGCCTGGTCCACCTCCGTGGCGATGGCCTTGGCCTCCGCCGCCTGAGGCTTTCCCCGAAAACCACCGGAGCCGAGGGCAGCGAAAAAATATGGAGAGACAAAACGGGGAAACGGAAGCCCCGAAGAGTCGAAGAGGGGAGTGGGTCCCCTAAGGAGTTTCCCCCCAAGGAAAACCCCAAGGAAAACCCAAGGAACCATTTGGAGAGTTTGGGATGGAATCATGTTGCTCAGTGTGGCTTATCTTACATGAGCAGCCAGACTTGGCGATGGACCTTCCCCTTGCCTGATTCTTTGCCCGCTGCTCCTCCTTCTGTCGCTCCGCCGCGACTTGTGCGATCTGGGCATGACTCATTGATGTCTATTCAACTCACAGCTTCAGTCACCAGTAGAGCACAAGAGCTTGATGAAGTTATTAAGAACAATGGCTGACTTCCTGAGCCAATTCGCAGTTTGAGAAAAGGAACCGTGAGGGCTCTCCCTTCTAGCAGACTTCTAGCATGGAATCTTGAGGTCACCCAGACCTCTACCGCCACCCTGCGTCCGCATTTTGGGGCCGCCGGAGGGTCTGTCGGTGCTTTCGGAGGTGATCAAGGCCCTCTCCGCGGCTCGAACCACCAGTTCACCGCGTGGCCCTGGCTGAGGGCGGTGGTCTGATGCCACCACCAGCGCGGCAACAGGAGCGCGTCGCCCGGGCCAAGCTCCACCTGCAATCAATCGAAACCCCTCCCCAGCCAGGTTTGGCTCTAAAGAGTTCACTCGGTTGCTTTCTGCTCCCCTGGTAAAAGTTTAAGTTTTAGTGGTTCAATTCGGAAAACCCGTGAGTTGGCAAAAAGTTAAAGTCCTAACATCCAAGCAAAATGCATCAAAGTTCAACGGGGGACAAGTGCCTCATCTCTAAGCCGCATCCAAAGTCGGTCTCAAAACAAACTGTTCCGGGAAGTAGGTCAACCAAAAGGTGCCGGACGATTGTGCGGTCCCTGTGCACCCCCAAATCCCTGTGCGCCAAGCTTTGAAAATGAAAGAAAGCAAGCATTCAGAAACACGCCCGGCGACCTCTAGCAAAGCTTCGGGTCAACCTGCCTCGAAGCTCCGCGCTGCGGCCTCCTGGAAGAGCGGGAACCTCTCAGCATCACAAGCATCAATGTCCTCAATGCGAGACACGTGGGGAGCACTGTCCCCTGCCCCGCGTGCATAGAGCCGCTCATGGTCGCAGGCACGGAAGAGACGGAACCGCTTCCGGCCCGAAAGCTGGACAAATAGGTTGTCGATGGAGGAGTGCACGTCGGCTCTTTCCCCGGCCTTGGCCCAGTCGCCACGGTCGAAGTGCAAAGATGTGGTCACCCCGGCGGGGCCACAAAAGAGTGTGCAGGTCACCAGGCTGTCCAAGCCAATCGCACGAAGAATGTCGGGTCCTTCCACTGGCAGGCCCAAGTCCTTTAGCTCAGGCAAATGCTGCATTACAGGGAGCTGCTGCAGGTACATGTTCTTGCATGGCTCACTTGCCAAAGCCCCCAAGAAATCCCCCAGCTTCATGTCCTTTGTCCGGAAGGGTGGCACCGAACAGCCGTCCTTCAGCTGGGCCACTGGTACGTTCCTCTGCCCGAAGCGCCTTTGAAGCGCCGCTGGCTGCAGTGGCCGCAGCGAGCGGCCAAAAGATCCGTCGTCTTTCGCAACGCCCCGCAGCAGCAGGGGCACTGCGTCGTAGACCGCGGCCGCCAGCGGCCTGCTCACATCCCCGGCGAACGCTGCGCAGTTCACCGCCCGGATTTCTGCAAGCGCCCGGGAGCGCTCCACCACGCGACCCCGATCGTCGCGGCTACCCTCGTGATAGGCGTTGCCTGGTGGGCCCAGGTGGTGACAACATGAGCGCCGACGCGCTGAGGGCGGCGGTGGTCCATACATCGCGGGGGGAGGTCCGTAAGTGAAAACACTACGCCGGTTTTTGAACATCTGTGAGGCGAGAGCATCAAAAGCCTCTTCCACCGTCTCGTGGCTTTTAGCGCTTGTCTGCACTGACAAGCCACCCAGGGAGGCTGCAAGATCGTCCCCCTCCTTTGGCAGCACCACCGGAGCATCCAGGTCGCTCTTGTTGCCAACAATCAACAAAGCCGCATCCGAAGCATGCTCCTGCACCTTGCCAGCCCACGCAATCACTTTCTCAAACGTTGCTCGATTTGTCACGTCGTACACAATGATAACGCCATGGGCACCACGAAAATACGCACTAATCAAAGATGCGTAGCGCTCTTGGCCTGCAGTGTCCCAGATTTGCATTTTCACCCCTTGGTCTTGGATGCGAAGGCTTCGAATCTTGAAGCCAACGCCAATCGTGCTTGCATAGTCCTCCACAAAGCTGCTGTCCACATATTGATGCATCAAGGACGTCTTGCCCACCCCTGCATCGCCAAGCAAGACAACCTTGAACAGAATGTCATAGTCGTCTGTGGACCCATTTCGAGCTTGCCTCGCCATGGGATCCAGTTCAATAGTCTTTGAAACTCGCTGAATGGCGAGTCTGTGAGCCGGAGTTTACCTTTGCATAAGGGGTCCCCTCAAAGTAAGGAACGCCAAATGGTTGGTACTTAAAGGGACACCAAAAGAAAGACACAGGTTTTAGGGGGCCATTTTTGAGAAACACCCATGTCCGCAGTTCGGTGACCAGACCTGTTTGGGCCGAACGGTCATCTTCGGAAAGAGGCTCATTACCCACACCGACACCATATTTTTTGAGAGCGGGTGTTGGTGGCGATGCTGTTTCAATACCATTTACAGCGTGTTCGCAAGAGTGGCAGCTTAAAGCCGAGCACCTTCTATGCTCTTCTGCTCTTTTTTGGGGGGGCTCCCCAACAGGAGACGAGCCTTTTTGGGGGGGAGGTCCCCCAAAAGGAGACCAGCCGATTCGCAGAGAATCACCCCTACCAGCCTTTCCCCCCCACCCGCTTCCTTGGCTGTGCCCGAGCAACGCTCTGGCACCGGCACTGGCGCAAGGCGAGTCTGGGAGCTCCGGCCCTTTGCTCCAGCTCCGCCTTGCGCGCCCGGGCCTTCTGAAGCTCCTGGCGCCCAGAAAACCGACAGACCGACAGACCGACACCCGGCCGAGCCGAGGACCCTCGGCTCGCCCTCCGACGCCGGATCGATCCCCCGGCGTCAAAAGGTGGAGAGCTCGTGGAAAATCTCGGACAGCCAACCACTGAAGGCCATGTGGGAGAAATGTTCGCCCGGAATCCACCCGGTCCCAACTGATTTAACCCTTTTGGACTCCTAAAAGTTGAAACCCAACCACTGAATGCCAAAAGAGCCAAAAAGCTAAGGAGCCGGATTGGGTGGGAGCCAAGGCGCGGCGGATGCAGGCTGGGTCCATTCTTTGAGGGTCACTCCCCTCCCCTTTTTGGAGGACTTAAAGGGAGACCCAAAAGGGTAAACCTTTTTGGGGGTCCCCCAAAGAAAGACACACCCATGTATCTCTGTTGGTGATTTGGAGGGGTGCTTTGGATTGGGTACCGGAACCTTTTGGAGGCTTCACGTGGCTGTGATTTTCAAAATCTGAGGCCTTGGCTTCTGAAGGGACAGAAGTGGCTTGAAAAGCCAAAACACCTCAACTGTTATTCATAGTTGGACAGCAATTTCATACATTTGAGACGGGAGAATGCCCTTGTTTCAGACTGGCCACTGATAGCATTTACCTGCGCGATGGTGGAGAGATACAAACGGTTCAGAAACAAGTTCCCCGCTCCAAAGAATGCGCAAGCTCGGCAGGGGCGTGTTGCAACACAGCTTCAGGTGCTCCGCGAGCGAAATTCACAGGATGGGTATGTGGCCATGGGTCAAAAGCCCGGTTGGCCCCCAGTCAACATCCCAATCCCCACTAAAATAAAGCCTAAAATGGGTGGTGCATTCACCTACCAACCGAAATGGGATCCCAAAACGGGTTTGACCACCACAGCCATGTCAAAACCCCACCCGCCACCCCCCGGCCCCCGGTTTTTTTGAGCGGGGCGGACGCCTTGTCCATGGACGCGAAGAAGGACTGGATCCGCTGGGACTCGCTGGTGGCCTTCTGGAGCTGCTTCTCGTCGGCCTGTCAACCGGAGAAAGCCATTAAAGCCATGCGGCTTTGGGTCAAAAATAGGCAACTACCCAAAATGGGCTGCCCTGGTAAATGGAAACAATGACTAAAACCTGTGGTCCATATTGGTGGTTGGATTTTGGCCCATACCCGTGCAATTTGGGCGTTCTATTTGAGACATCAACCCGCATGTGGGTGTTGTTTCGTGGTTTGGGGGGGGACCCCAACTTGTTGGTGGGTTCTAAAAGGAAGCCAAAAGGAAACAACCATTTTGGGGGGGACCCGCATGTGGGCGTTTCTTTGGCACGCCGTGTTCTCTCACAGCGTCGCCTTCCGTTTACTTGCTGGAAAATGCGATGTAGGTCTCAAAGGGAGCCCCCAAATGGTTGGTGTCCTTTGGTTTCCCTTTAAAATCAACCAAAAAGGGGGTCTCCCTCCGCCCCCTCCCCCAAACAAAAAAAACACAGCTGACTTGACTCCTGATTTCCGAGCAGCTCTGCATCGCCTTGCTTCAACAAACCGCAGCAAAATGCGGCTTCCCTGAACAAGTCATATACCGAAACTAGCCATCTAGCGTAGAAAGGTCGTGCTGGTAGGTCTAACCTTACACAGTTGGACCAACGTGATCTGCAAACCTCTAGCGTCAGGGATCTAGCGGCAAACTAAAGAACAACTCTATTGAAGCATCCATGAAGCTTTGGCTCCATTGGGCATGCATGGCATCGTTTCATCCAAATACAGGATATATAGATACATATACGATAGGTGGCAGCCCCTGTAAGTCAGTGGCCCTTGCGACATGTTAAGTCTGGTGCCCCCGGCTCGGACTTCGGCCTTGTCCATGTTCGCCATCATCTCCTCCAGGTTCTTGCTGCGCTCTTTCAAGGCTGCCACCTTGAGAAAGCACAGTACCGCCCACGAGAGCCCTGGCGACCGAAATGACAAAGTAGAAACACGCACCAAAACCTGCGTAACCCCTCCTGGTTAATTTTGAGCCACACCCATGTGCACCAAGGTGGCGTCAAAGAATCAGAGGCTGCCGCACTGTCTGAGTGTCGCTTGATGTCCAGGCTGACCTTGTCCAGGGCCTGGCAAAAATTTGGATGGGAATCGTTGAGAGACTTGGCGGCTGCTGGGTCCTATTCGTTTTTGTTTCCCCCGCAGCTGCAAACCCACAAGAACGCACCTCCTGCATAAGGGATTCTTGCAAACCCAAAAGAACGCACCTCCCCCCCCCGCCCGGCCAATCCAGGCTTGGCGAAGTCGCATTCCGCCGAAAAATATGTCAAAGTGTCAGTGCCGTGTAGGTACCCACCAATGAACCTGGAACCTGACGTTCGGGTCTGGACCATTGTCCTTTTCAGGCTCCATGTTCATTGGTGCGAGTGTAGGTAGTAGGTACTTGGTGCTATTTGGCCATGGTACCCCCAGTGAACATCCCAATCCCCACTAAAATAGACTAAAATGGGTGGTTACCTACCCCAAAATGGGATCATTTTGGTTTTTGGTCCACTGCCCTTTCCCTCAAGTACTCATTTTCCCGCAAAAAATGTTATTTTCCCTCAAGTACTGGGTATGGGTCAAAATTGAGCTACCAGCAATTGGACCGCAGGTTAAATCGTCCATGTTTCCATTTACCGATCCGGTTCCATTCCTCGCCTCCTGCTGAGACCGCAGCTTCTCCAACAGCTCCTGGCGATCCGCCTTCAGCTGCCGCACCTCCTGCCGCGCGGCCTCGGCAACGGCTCGACTTTTCCAAGGGGCAAAGCCAGAGGTGGGAGTGAAGGGGGGGTGGGGGGGAGAGGGGGGCGGAGGGGGGCAGAGAGGGGGGGGGGGTAAAAGGGCTTCTGAAATTGAGGAGGGGAGTGACTTCGGCGTGACTTCTGGGCGTTCGCTTCTTTCTTCTCAGCTGGCAGTGACCAAATCTGTGGTCACGATGTGTTTGCTCGGGGAGATGACCGGGAGCTTGTCCGGAGTATCGCCAGCACAGCAAACCAGGGAGAAAGCTGCCGCATGCTTGGCAGGCTATTCACAGCATCCGCCTGAAGGTTCTGGGCCAAGAGCTACATTTAAAAACAAATGCCAGCGATCTCGACGTGCAATGCTCGAGCGTTGGCCAAAGGAAGACATGCTGATCAACAACAAACCTGACATCTTCCCAAATCTAGGTCAACATTGCTTCTGACCTCAAGAGAGATTGCTGCTGTGATGCTGCATTGCCTCAGGCGGATGTGGCGCAAACGGTTCGCTTCTTCAGTGCTGATGAGAGGCATTCGCGCATCGTATCCAAATCGTAAGCATCGCATTGCGTAAAAACTGATCCCAGAAAAGCAGCGATGCTTGTCAGGATACTGTCTTCAGGACATCTCAAAGGCTGGGGAATCAGCTCTGGGCGGAAACCCTCCTAGACGTCCTGAGGCCCGTGCACCGATCTTCCTGGCCATGGCAAGAGCCTCCAGGGTGACTCGACGTTTCGCCCGAGGAAACGTGAAAATTGGTCACGCACGGGCCACGAAGTTCCCAAGATCCCAAAAATGACGACCAGGGGTGACCAGGTCGTGGTCCTCACTACACTTCCCATGTTGCGCTGCAATTTATGGCGTTGGACATCGACGCCGGGAACGTAAAAAGAGGCGTGATTGGAGACTTGTGGACGACATCGGTAGGACGACGCCTGCGGCTTGTTGGCGTTCCGGGCACCTAACAGGGATATAGAAGCATGAAGCATGCATAGCACGCCAAGCAGGCTTGACGCGAGAACTTAGATCCGCTTAGTAGAGCTCAAGCTCAATGGGGGGTGTCTGAATCTGTCTGAATGAACCACGCATTGCTAGTTCCTTGCCTGCTTGGGCTGCATGCTCCTTGGCACTGCCAAAACGTCCGATTCCCGAGGAACCAGAACAGGCACATCCGGCCATCGGGTCAAACTAACCATGGACGGAAACCAATCAAAACAACAGCCTTGGCAAGCTGAAATCACCCCATGGCTTGCCGTTGTGTCTTCCGTGAGCAGCACTTCAGCCACGTCACCCCACTCAGCTTCTTCTCTGCTGCCAAAAGCCTCGGAACAGTAGAGCTACGGCATTCAAGCACTGGCTACCCATCTACTCTCTTCATTCCTCTGCAAAATCTCCGGAGGAAATTCGATGCGGATGCAGCCACTGCCAATGGCTTATTGCATCTTTTTCTCACATCCACATCTGTGCAACGTGCACAAAATGAAATCGCCGGTATCTGTGCAACTGCGTCCATATCCGGTTGTACAGCAGCAAAAACAAGGCATGATTGTTCTCCTCGACTTACGGCAGATAGGTTGGATACATTGACTGGTGAAACATACAGAGCTTTCAGGGTGTGTCACGAAACCAAACAAACATGTTCAGATTTTTTCAAATTGGTGGTTTGGATTGGTGGCTTGGAGGTTAGGGGTAACTTCCCATTTACCCTTTACAAGAGCCAAGGGTTCAAGTCCCCAAACCACGATTACCTGAATCTTTAGAGGCCCTATCTGGGCATGAGAGAATCTTTGGTGGATATCATTTAGGTGGGGACCAATCAATTGTCAGGTGGTCCCCTATATTTAAAAAAAAAAAAAAAAAAACTTTGAGAAAGACCTTATGTTCTCGTGCGCAACCAAGTGAACCGCGACTTTCCCCCGAGAGCCCAGCGCACCGTCCTTGCTCTTAGCCTCACGCTCCTCGCGAGAGACTACGCGAGCAAGGCGGCTGGGTGGCTGTTGTCGAATGCAAAGATCTCCAGGGAACGCTAAAGAATACCTCAAAGCAGGTGGGTGCCATTCCATATGGCTGTGGTTGTCAAAACCAATGGCACCATTTTGGGGTAGGTGCACCTCGCATTGTAGTCTATTTTAGTGGGGATTGGGATGTCCAACATTGTCGCGAAAATGTCAATGTTTGCCCACGATGCGGCAACTGTAACCCAAGCAAAACCATAATTGGCTGGTACCTGTGATGTCAAGAGAGGAAGCACACCGGAGGCATCTCCCCACATCGCTTCATTGCAAAACCTGCGGCGGATTACATGGGATGCATCCTTGTTTAGACCTCCCGGGTCTAAAAGAATCAACTTCTTGCCACCCAGCCGGCGCGCCAGACGCTTGGCATGCTCTCGGAGCTGGCTCAAGCGCCGCTGGGAGGCCTCAAGGCTGGAGATGACTCCAACATGGAAACGGCACGACTCGGCCCGAAGCTTCATTATCTTCGGCACACCCAGAACTATGACTACCAGACTCGGCATGTTTGACCTGGTTTGTGGTGGTGCATCCGAATCGGCCAATTCCGAAGCAGCTTTTAACAGCGCACCAAACAAAGTCCAAATTGGATGGGGAGGGAGGGCAAGGGGGAGGGGGAGTGAGAGAGGGAGGGAGAGAAGAAAAGGGCAACGAAAACGAGACAACAACACATGGGATAGGGAGAGAGATTGAAGAAGAGACAACAATGCATCATGAAGCCTCTTTCAGCACGGCAAAGCGCTCCCATACCTCGTTTGAGCAAACTCCACTCCGTGGCACGATGATAGGTAGCCCAGTTACTCTACAGCCGGCCCGCCCTGTTTCCAGCTCGCAGTGGGCAGGTGTGGTTGCTGTCGTGTTGGTAGGCATACAAAAGCTGCTTCGTTGATGAGAATGAGTTCACTTGCGATGTGCACGGATGTTGCCATTTGGGGGTTGATCAATATTCCTGGCCCCCAAATGATCATGGGTAACGCTGTTTGATCAACCCCCATTTTTGCGGCCGCAGGATCTGCTCACCAGCTGCCTATCTGGGTGTTTGCTTGGCGCAGACATGTGAATCCTCAAAAAAATGTTGGTGCAATGTTTTCCGATTAGCCAGGCATGCATTCAATCAAGCATTTGGCCGGTGCTGGTTGACGAGACGACTGTGTTCGTGTTTCGTCGGCCGGAGCGATTTCGGCCTGCGATAACCATCCTGTGCTTCCACGCGATGCATGATGGTGGCAAGAAGCTTGCTGACAATCAAACCAGCACATCAACAAGCACACTCAAGGACACGCAGATCCAGTTGCCAAGATTTCGAGCCGAGCAAAAGAGAAAACCCTTAAAAAACACGGCGAAGCGATGGAAAGGAACACACCAATCCATCCGGGGGGGAAAAAAACAAAAAGAAAAGAAAAGAACAGAAAAGAAAAAACAGGAGAAAAAAAAAGGAGAACAAAAAGAGAGGAGAAACCAAAAAAGAGAAAGACAAATAAGAAGAAAAAGAGAGGAGAAACCAAAAAAAAAGGAAAACAAAAAAGGTTCGTTCGTGACCCGTCCGCGCGAGCTCAGGGACTGACCACCAGCTCCCTGGACTCCTCCAGCAGATGGCGGTTGGAGTTCTGGCCCTCCTTCTGCCTGATGCGCCGCCGCGCGCACATCGGGCAACCGCATGGGGTTTTTCTCAATATTTCCTTCGGCCCAAGTGATTGCCGGATTTGTCTGCCTGGCAAGATGGGCAATGTCTCCTTTTGAAATGCCTGTGGTTGTCAAAACCAATGGTGTTTTGGGACAGGTGCACCGCCCATTTTAGTCCACAGCGGGAATTGGGATGTTCACTGGGGGTACGGGATTTGGGCAGCCACATGGAGCCTGACGTTCCTGGTCTGGACCATATTCCTTCTCAGGGACCACAGTCCCGAACGTCAGGTTCCACGTTCATTGGGAGTGTAGTAGGTACTTGGTGTTGATTGGCTTTGGTTGTCAAAACCGTTTTGGGATCCCATTTTGGGATAGGTGCACCACCCATCTTAGAACCTATTTTAGTGGGGATTGGGATGTTCACTGGGGGTACAATTTGGACTTTGACCCATGCCCATTTCCCTTCGGCCCCCAAGTGACCATGCGTACCTTCCCCCATTTCGTGGTGAACGTCATCTTGTTTGGTGGTTTCCCCGGATGGTCATCCAACCTTTTCCGGACCTTTTGATCAGCACCCACGGTCACTGCGCGGCTTCAGCCACACGGTCAGCGCATGGCATCGATTCCATGCCTTCAACGCCCCCCACTCTGAGGGTCTAACTCCTCCTGGATCTTCGCTTTCACCTCTGCCTGGCACCGAGCACACCAAGGGCACCGAGGTGCCTTGAGGTCTCCTTCACCACCAAAAAATGACCCCTTTGGGCGGTGTCGACCTCTCGGAGTTGGTAGCCTGTTTGGGGGTTGGTTTGAACGGAACCCAAGGGAGAATCGCCATTGTTGGGGGGTCCGCTACTCGACATCTCTTCTCATGAAGCTATAACCAAATGGATATGGATATGTGCTCGGGTGGTCCATGCCAGAATCTATCAGCAAAGTGGCCACTTGTCCATATCTGTGTGTTCTCTTTCCGTGTGTTCTTCCGATGAGTCAGCAGCGAGCAAAACGCCGGCACCACCAGCTCCTTCTGCACTGCGGCTAAATCATCTTCCTGGTCTTCGCAGCACTGCACGGAAAAGGAGTAAAGAGTGGGATCAAACATGAAGTCCTTATTCGGCCCAAGCCGGTGTCCGATTTACTACTTTGTTGGGCGATGGGTTGGATTCACCTTTGCACAGGGATGGCGGCGCAGGGGCAACCGCGGGCCCACGAAATCTCGCATCTCTGCAAGCGTGGCGGGCAGGCCGAGTCAACCTGCAGGAAGGACACAGGCCTCAGAGGAAGATAGCAAGGCGAGGGGGCGAACCACTTGCTGGCTAGCAGAAAATCTAGAGGCATTGCTGAAAGGTCGGGGGCGATTGCCTTGCCCAAAGATCCTTCCATAACTCTCAGATTGTCGTGAGCACCCATGTGCACCTCAGGCTGAGCAGCCCGGGCGCAGGTTGCAGCTGCTCCTGCAGTTTTGCTTCAGGGAGCGCGAAGAGCGGGCCTGTGTAATTGAGAATCTCTGCTTGTCAATAGTTGGGACTCCCCCCTGATTTCTTGAGCCATCTACTCTCAAATGGCTGTGGCTCAAAAAACCTGAATTCCGAAATGGGTTGCCCTGGTAAGTGGAAACATGGACCAAAGCCTGCGGTTTGCCCCTGTTTAATTTTGAGCCATCTACTCTCAGATCCGATTAGAATGTCACGTCAGCCAGCCTCCGCCTTCCTCCTTCTCGCCATCTCCTGAGCCACGGGAGGCGGGGGCCATCGCAAAACATGGTCAGGGGAGAGTTCCTGGCAGCTAGGCGGACTTGACGATCTATTCGCTGTCAAACACAATCAGCCAAGACCAGGGTTGCCTTGTTCGGCCTTTCAAATCTGAGATTGATACTGTGCACGGAATCCATTTCGCACTGTTCAGAAACCCTGGAATGATGACGCCCCTGTAAATATCAACAAGCCTTATGGATTCTCATTGACATGGTTTCCAAGCATCCACCGTGTGTCACCCCTTTCGTCCCCCTTTGTCAATTGGGGTCATCTGGTCCTTCATCAGCTGCTTCTCGAGGTCCTTGGCATGCTCCTGCCACCAAAAAAAAGATCCCCCGAAACCCGCGGGGTTTACAGCGGACGAATTGGAAGGGCGCATGGGGCAAACCTATTTGAGTGAGTCATCACAGGGTATCCAGCAGTGCCAACCTGCGATTTTATTCGGTCAATGAGACCGGCTAGAAGCTTCCTTGCCGTTGCTTCCAGATCGCTTGACATGGGTTCACATGAGCAAGGGGATCCTAAGCTTCTGCAGGAGTCCAAGAACGCAAACGCGCGCAAAGGAGGGGGAACTTGAGTTGGAGGTGCGTTGGGCGAGGGGAGCTGAGCTGCTTGGTTCCTGGCCCTTGTTCCGGGGCCGCAATGTCAAAGCTCTCACAATACATATTCATCAAACAAAAAGGGAAAACACAAGAAGTAAAATTGGCATTGACTACTACAACTCCTTGTCGGTCATGTTGATCTAACAAAAAGAGAGAACACAAAAATTTTCAGAATGGCATTGACTACTCTCACGACTCTCCTGAGCGGAAACCCGACCGATTCGGCAGCCCACGCTCGCGGCTCTGGCCTCGGACACTTCCAGCTCTCCTTGGCTCTCCGCGGACTGCTCCTCCGCCATAGCCAGCCTGCCGCTTCGGCAGTGAGACGCGGCCGGCTGGGTGCCGCTTCGGGGGGGGGGGGGGGGAAAGGGGTCGAAGTCACGAACCCAAAAATTGGGGGTCGACCCATGGGGTTCGTCTTTTTTGTCATGAAAGGAGTCGACCCATGGGTTGTTGTTCAAGAAAATCTCGGGATTTGTTGATATTTGATGGGTGTCTGGGTCCCGCTGGGCGTCCAGCTTCTCCTCCAACCCGGCAATGGTGGCCTGGCCAAAATTCGAGCACTAAGTCAGTAGTCATGCGGATCGCTCAGACACTGTTCACACACACAGAGACACTTTTCCAAGGGCTTCACCTTGAAGTAGCACAACACCCTTGGGCTTCGATTTATCCAATACACCCTGCGAAAGAACCGTGTTTATTGATTTATGCCGTTCTTTCGTTCTGTTTTTATTTTGTCTTTCTTTCTTTACTTATTTATTTACTTCTTTCTTTCTGTATTTATCTATTTATTTCTTTCTTTCTTTCTTTCTTTCTTTCTTGATTTATTTATTTCTCTATTTATGTCTTTCTTTCTTTCTTTCTTTCTTTCTTTCTTTCTTTCTTTCTTTCTTTCTTTCTTCCTTTCTTTCTTTCTTTCTTTCTTTCTTTCTTTCATTATTTCTTTCTTTCATTCATTCATTCTTAAATTGTCTTGCTGTCTTTCTTTTCTTGTTTGCTTTATTTCTTTCTTCTTTCTTTCTTTCGTTCTTGCTTTCTTGCTTTCTTCTTTCTTTCTTTCGTTCTTGCTTTCTTGCTTTCTTCTTTCTGCTTTCCTTCTTTCTTTCTTTCTTTCTGTCTTTATTTATTTCTTTCTTTCTTTCTTTCTTTCTTTATTGTCTTGCTGTCTTTCTGTATTTTATTGCTTTATTTCTTCCTTATTTCTTTCTTTCTTTCTTTCTTTCTTTCTTTCTTTCTTTCTTTCTTTCTTTCTTTCCTTCTTTCTTTCCTTCTTTCCTTCTTTCCTTCTTTCCTTCTTTCGCTCTCTCTCTCTCTCTCTCTCTCGCTCTCGTTATGAAAAAAGTTGGACGGAAACACCCTCTACCTGTGCGAGGACAAGAACCATCTCTTCGCTTTGTGAAGCAGTCCGCTCAAAAGATTACCAATCCCACCACTTAACCTGGGGATCCTTTCCCAGTTGGCATGTTGCTTCTCTTTCGTGCGCCTTGGTCTCTGCCGTCTGCAGCATCGCCATCTTTTTCATCGTCTTCCTGTGGAGTCACCAGCGCTGACTCGCGCACGCATGAGTCATAATCAAAGCCCAGCATTAAATCGGTCCACCCAGAACCATGCTTCAAGAACTAAGAGCATCGGATATCTGCAGCTATTTATGGCAAGAGGATTGTCCCTTACTAGCCGGATCATTTACCCGGGTTTTTGAGCAAGTGGCTCACATGTTCACGCCTTCCAGAGGCCTGAGCCCGGGGCAGCTTGGCCTCCAGGTCCGCCACTGTACGGGACATGTACACCTCAGCGCGCGTGACATAGACGCGACCGAAGAGCGTCCCAAAACCTTTGGATCTGCGAAGCCTTGCCGTGCCTCCCATGTTTTGTTTTTGGCTGTGGGTCAAAACCCTGTACCCTGGTGAACATCAAAATAGGTGGCAAATGGAGGTTCATCCACCCCAAAATGGCTCGCCATAGGTTATGCCCCATGGCCATTTGTTTGCGCTCGGAGAGCCTGGGCGGCCTGAAAAAGCTCTGTCAATGCCAGGTCTCCAGCATCTGCCACCTCTTTCTGCTGTTCCTGGCCACCGCACAGGAACCTATGAGGGCACGCTGGCAAAAAAATGTCTCACATCATAATACGTTGAGAATCAGCAAACCAGACCTCTCACAGTAATCAGCAAACCAGACCTCTCACAGTTTTGCTCGAATTGTGTTCACATCTTAAACCTGTTGGCGTTGTCGAAATGATATGCTTTCAGCCGCTGGCATGGAATTAATAGAAGAATCGAGCGCTGAGCCCTCCCCCGTCAGCTGTTGCCTCATGGCTGGATCTCTCCTCGTACTGCGCTGTGTCCTGATGATTGGGCAGACACTTCCAGCGTCTCACCACTGGCCGGCCCGAGAACTGAAGATACTCACTGATGCAAACACCAAGGCGTGAAGTCCTCGCTGACAGCGCGCAGAACGTCCTTGAGGGCACCTGAACCTCAAAGAAAACAAGGAGGACAGGTGATGGCAACTTGTGCCAAATGAACCAGGTGAGAGCAAAGCAAGGCAAATTAGTTGTGTGGAAAGATGGTACTTGGGGAGAACATGATTCATACCAAGGTCGACGAGGCTCTGATTTTTTGGAGGCGCTTCCTGGCCCCCTCAGATTAGTCTGACCTGGCTATTCGCAATAGCTTGTGTTTTTTCCGTCTTGAGCCAGAAAAGGAAGTCTTTAATCAAAGGGGGGGTTGGATTGAGAGGTGCCCCCCTCAAAAAATAAGAGGGGTCGTTTAGCCAAACCTTGTGAGTGGCTTCAAAGTAGTATTGGCTGGCAGTCGGCTGGGAAAACCGAGCGTCTTTCATCAGAGGGGGTTTATTCATCACGTGCCGCCTGATACTAGTGATGTCGGCATCTTGCCCAGAACGAGGCCAAGCTCAGATCCCAGCCGTATCCTTGAACCCTCGCTACATTGGCACCTGCTGCAGCAGCCTCAGTGATGGCTGCGGCCAAAGTCCCATCCTCCCGGAATGGTCCGATCAAAGCTTCAAATGCACGCGCAATTTCAGTCATGTGGCAAACCTGTTTTTCGAGGGTGCCCTTTTCACCTGTAAAAGGAACCCAACAGCAAACCTACCATTCTGGGGGTCACTCATTTGGGGGTTGGGTTTCTTGGGACAACCCCCCCCAAATTTTCATGTTGGTATCCAAATAGACAAACCACCCAAAAAAAGGGGGTACCCTCCAAAACAAAGACACCCTCAGTTAGAGACCAACTCGCCGCGAGCGCAACGCCGGGCCCCGGGCAACGAGCACCGCCAGCAGCAGCGAGCCGGCCATCGCGGCGGAGCTCGCGAGCTCACGAAAACACGGAGCCAGCTGCGTGACATTTCGCGGAGACGGGGGCGGTTTGTAAGGCAAAGACGAGGCAAAGGCAAAGCATCGGGACCAAAACCTGCATTCATTCCATTTCTCATTCCCTACTCAGCACCAGCAAGGTAATGGAAGGAAAAGCAGGGTAAAGCAGGGCAAAGCAAGGCAAAGCAAGGCAAAGCAAGGCAAGCACTCTAGTATTGCCCTAAAATAAGGCCATCATTTGCGAAAGCTGCTAGCCACACCTTGAAACACTTGGATTCTGAAATTGTATGCAGCTAGGCTGGCGTGCTTTCATGTTCCTGGCGTGGCGAGCACCATTTACTCTTTTTCCCCTTTGCAAGATAGAATGAGATCTGGCCGCGGTACCCACGCGGCCACACGGATTACCCTCCAGCATTCGAGTGGAGCTTCCCTGGTGCCCTGTTCGCTAATCGGAAACTTGCGCAGGCACCACACCAAGACCTTCGTCCATTGCAAACATCACTGAACAACACAACCCTCAAAACATAAGCCTTTCCACTCATGAGATACGGTTCCACTCATCCTGAGAGGATCACTGTACCGCTGCCGCGTCTTACGCGCACCGTCCATGGGTTCTCTGCTCATAGGGTGAGACGTGCGCTGGCCTGCATGCCGCGCGGCTCAGCCGGTCTTGGCCTTCTTGGCAGCCGGCTCCTCTGCCTCTGCCTCCTCTGGATCCTGACGGCTCCAAGGCCATGCAAGGTGCAAGGCCCTGAACACCAAGTGGGCATGAATTTCAATTCGGGACCCTTTGGCGGACATCATTTAGGTGGGGATTCATGTCCACCAACCACTTTTGAGGTCGTTCCCTATTAAAAAAGGAAAAATGGCCAGTGGGACGCCAAGCTTGAAAAGGCGTCATGCTACCAGCTCTGCCCTCCCCACATCCAGCACCTCTTCATCGGACTCTTCTTCTCCGGCCTCCAACAGGCCCTGCCGTGAGGTCTTTGCTCGGGTCACATGGCTGTGGGTCAAAATCCAAATCGTACCCCCAGTGAACATCCCAATCCACTAAAACAGACGAACATGGGTGGTGAATTCACCTACCCCAAAATGGGATACCATTGGTTTTGACCCACAGCCACATCTCACTACCTCCCTGCACAACACAACACCTTCCATCTGCACAGAAGCTTCGCTGGTGTCTGAGCACCAAGGTCGCATTGGGCTATGGAGGAACGGTACATCGGCACACCTCTTCGTCCTCCTCTAGCAGGTCTTCCTCCATGTCCTTCCATGTCAATTCTGGAAATCTCACAAAGGTCCCTGGCGGTCCCTTGCCACGCCTCCTGTAGAATCTTTCTCCACTCTGTTGCTGTCATCGGCAGAGGCCTGAAACACAACACCCAAAAAAATGCGGCTCTCACCAAAACGGCCCCCCCAATGCCTCGAATCAGACCCAGATTTCACATGCAGATGCTTGCAAATAGGACTCGTTTGCTGGCCACGCCTCTCGCCCTCCGCCTTCCCGTCCTTGTTCGCCTTCAAGCACCGCAAGTCGCAGCGACATACCACTCACAGGAGTTGGCCCAAGAAATGAACGGAGGGCGGCCGATGACTTGATCTGAACATACATGATGGGATAGCAGGATGCATGACTCAATAAAACTGTGTCATGTCACAAACAAGCTCAAAGGCTTCAAAACCAGCAGCCGGCACTCCCTCACTCCCTCACTCTGCCTCGAAGTACTCCCTCGCTTTGAGGAGGGCCTTCGCGGCTTCTACAGTGCCCAGCCTCGGAATGCAGAGCAATCAGCCGAGTTTGCGGATGCGATCTTGCGCGGCCTATAAGGAAAGAGGTGTGCTGAGCTGGTCTCTTGCGTTTGCGTGTTTGCGGTGCTCAACCTCTAGCAACCAAGCTCGTCCGCTTGGAAATCTACAGCTCTCCTTCTCGTCCCTCCTACATGCAGGGAGTCTCTGTTTGAGGGTGCCCCTTGTTGGTAGGTGTTCAAGCAAACAGAAAGCAACAAGCATTTTGTGGGTTCCCCTAAAGGCACACCCAAATGGACCATACACTGCAAAATCTGAACGCACCTCTGAGGTTCCCCGACTCCTCCACCAGCTCATCGATGCCGTCAAAATCCTCGTGGTTTGAGTGTGGCAGCTTGAATGCACCCAAAGGGCGTAAATCAAAATGTTGGAAGGCAAAAAATGTGTGGTGTCCTGCCGGACTCCCTTTGAAACAACCCCCCCAAAAAAAAGGGCACCCTCAAACATAACAGGCGCCTATGGGTCCGCAGCGCAAGGCTTGTTGTTCATGATTTGGGCTGCGAAGCAAGCGACTCACACTAGGCAGTGTCTGGATCCTCTCTGGCTCCAAGTCTCCAAAGATGCCTTTTCCATGGTGCCCTTGGATAGTTACAAATGGCATCTAAAAGGACGCTAATTGTAGGGGTTGCCCTATTTTGAGAAGGTCTTCCATTTTGGCGAGTGGGGTGGGTGCGCTAGAGTGACATATCAGCGTCGCCCAGCACACGAGCCCAAGCAAAATCTGCGGCACCGTCCTTCTCGATCCCCCTCATGTCAACTGGGAGGAGCATTTCCTAGCCCGTTGTGGAAATATAGCATCGTTGACGTCCGCACACGTCCAAGTATGTCCAGCAAGGGCTAGAGTCCAGCCATGCGCGACATGTTATTGTCAAAAAGAGTGAGGTCAAGAGCTCATCGACAGGGTGGGAGGCATGTCAGGGACTTTTCCACGGGTACCAACCGGCCTGGTCGTCCAGCTTGCTGGGGTCCAAAATCTTTTCGAGCAGCGGCTTGAGATCCTGACAGCTTCAAGGCTTCAGGCCTGGGCCATCTAGGAACTAAGAAACAAAAAGAAGTGGAGCCAATCCGCACACTTTGGTTGACACGCAAGATGTTGTTATTATTATTTATTATTATTATTATTATTATTATTATTATTATTATTATTATTATTATTATTATTATTATTATTATTGTTTTAGAAACTTGCTGTCTTGACATCCGTGCGCCTCCTCTGAAGGCTTTTCGGCCTTGAGCTTCTCCTGCCCATTCCAGCCAAGCCGACCACACCGTGCCCGTGTTCTCAGCCAGATCCCAGCGCACAGCTCAAGTCGACATCTACAGTATAGATCAATGACCTTCCTTCTTCTCTTTCCTGCTTGCTCGCAGTCGTGTTCCAAGCAGTCTCTAAGCCACGAACAACGGCTCGGGGCTGTTGTATTCCGAACGGTTTGGATTCCGAAGGCTGCCCAAGAAGCAGCCAACAATATGTTCTGTCCTTGATGCCCTTCAAGCTATCCTCAGGCAGGTAGTACAGGTCCTCACATGCTTCATCTGCACGACGAATCTATCACCAAGAAGGGGTGGGAAAAGACAATTACTTGCCCGATGAATTCCAAGACTGACTGTTGCACACACAGTTTTGCTCTGAAACGTGCCTGCCTCCCCCAACGTCGCGTGAAGTGGCATATTACTGCTTGCATAATCTGCACCAGCAACCCCACCTCACCATCCAGGCCATCCAAGCCATCCAAGCCATCGTCCTTGCAGGAGTGTGTGTGTGTGTGTGTCCCTAACCTCCGGCCGGATGGGTGCCAAAATGTGAGGAGCATGAGGCCACTAGGCCAATCTGCACAGTCACATGGACACTTCTGGATTGGAAGCCTCAACACCTCCAGCGACACGCCCCAAGCCACTTCGAGCCTCTGCCATGGCTGCGAGGAATCTGAAGCCTCAATTCCAGCCCCACATCTATGGAGAGAAGGCATCTGCGAGAAGCTTAGCTTCCAAAGCACCAAAATCCACACGCTGCATGGCTTAAGGCAGGGACCCCAAGGGTCAGGTGGCAGTCTCTGCTCGCTGTGAGCCGTTGCCGGCCGGCCGTTCCGGTGCACAAAACCTCCGAGCACGCCTCACAGTCTTCCCCGATGTTCATGACGCACCGCAAGAAGCATCCAGCCCCATGGCAAACCACTTACAACCCTGATTCCGATGTCGGCAAGTCGGCAGATTGAGGGCAAGAATCGAAAGCCACCATCGCCACCTCTTTGCAATTTCTTTCTTCTTCGTGCTGACGAAGGTTTCTCACTTTGGCTTCGGCTTTCCCACCGCCTTTCTCCGCTCCCAAGTTCTCTCGGTCAGGCCCGGCGCTTTGCGCGCATGTGGCATCTCTTCGCCCAAAGCCCGTGCTCTGGCACGTGGCCTGGGACCCAAGGAAGACTTTTCCTGAGAACCTACCGCGAGGCTTACCCTTCACCTGTCGCTCCTTTCCCAAGACCAGTGCGCTTGGATACTTGGAGCGTGCCGTGCCGCGGCCCCACAAGACTGGTGACAGCTAGCGAATTCCGCGGCGCTATCATGCGCTATCCATCTCCAAGCCACAGGACATGGTCACTCCGTCTTGGTCGCCTATGGGCAAGCGAAAGTCATCAAAACCTGTAGGGTTTCCCCATCCGCTTGCGAATTGATCGCTGTTTCTTGGCAGGGTTGTCTCAGGGTAATGAAGCCTTATGAGGATTATTGCCTGCGAAACCAATCGAGCCACCATAGGAATAGCCCTCAACCAGTCGTTTGGGCACAAAGACTTTGGATTCATGGGCGAAGGTCCAGTCACCCGTTCCAGAAGATCTCTGTGTTGATCTATTTTGTGGATTCCAGATTAGAATGCCCTTGTGAAATGCCTTTGCGAATCCTTGCGGTGCTAGTCAGCTCCAAGCAGACCAACACAATACTGCTAAGGGACTTGATACGAAAAGATTCAACATGGTCGTGTCCTTGCTTTAGCAACTATATCATAGGGGGATTCGAGATTTTCAAACATCCCAGAAACGTCAAAATGCTTTCGTGTTTCTGAGTGGCAGCAAAAAGCTGCCAGCAAGATTGCCGTTTGAGCAAGCAAACGCCGGGATTGTCTGTGCCCTGATCATCGTTTGAGCATCCGAGCGTGGAATGATGAAGATCTGAGGAGTCGAAAGCAATGTGGATGGGGACACCCTCAGAAATGATGACTGCAAATAGGACATCTGCAACTAAGTTGGATGCAAAGCACTCATCAGCAAAGGAGTTTCCTTTGAGTGCGGAATTCATCACGGGTGTTTCTTTACGTTACTTTGCGTTTTCTGCTCAAAAAAAATGGAGAAACAAAGTGCGGCGGTGGGGGTGTGATTGCTTATCCTGGCTTGGTGCGCTGGAGGGGGCAATGTTGGGGTGAGTTGAAGGTTGTTGATCTGGGGTGAGTTTCGGGATAGACTAAGATTGGCTGAGAGGGCATGTAGAGTTGGCTTCGGGTAGGCCAGAATGGACTGTGGTTTATTCAGATTTGTCTAGAGTAGGTTTGGAGTTGGTTTAGAGTGGGTATGGGGCGTCAAATAGGCTAAGGGTTGGTTTCAGGCAAAATTTAGGGTTGGCGTAGGTGTGCTTTAATACGCAAAGGGTTGTCTGTGGTTTACGGTGTTTTGGGACGATGTTGGATTTAGGTTGATGGCGGATTTTAGAGTGACGGTATGGTCCGGATTGGTTTAGGGTTTTTTCAGGGCGGGTCAAGGGTTGCTGTGGGTTGGCAGGGGTTGACCAGTTGAGTGCGGGATGGAAAGCCACAAGCCAAACCGTCAAAGCTGCAAGCCTGACCAGCCAAACCGATCCCACAAAGCCGAAAGGAATTGCCCTCCATTCCTTGAGCACACCTGCGTCTCAACTTCAAACGGCTGTGGGTAAAAGCCCTGTACCCCTGTAGAACATCAAAATAGGTGGCAAATGGACCAAAAAATCCACCCCAAAATGGACCTATAGGTTATGCCCCATGGCCAAATGCTGAACTCCAGTCGGGGCTCATGTTAACCCAACATGCCACATTTGCCTTGTCAACGAAGCCGGCAAAGCGCTTGGCACGCGCCAAGCCCTTGGCCCAGTCGTCCGCCTCGTGTCCGCTTTGGTTCAGCTACCGTGGGTACAACGCATGATTTGGGCGAAAAATTGAGCCGCCACGAAAACAAAACCGGGCAAGGGGGGAGGGAAGCGGAGCACGGGGGAGGGGGAAGGGTGGGAAAGGCCCTTCGTGGCGCGTTTGCCTCTCCGCCCATCTTGAGACCCTCAACCTCTGTGCTTAGCAGGCGGCCGGGATCAGCGGCAGCGAGAGCAACGCCATGGTGGCTGCCATCCTGATGGGACTCGCAGTGAGCGATCAGTTTCTTGCTTCGGGAGATTCAAACACGTGACTTGACGCATTTCTTGCTGCAGATTTGATTGGAGCACCCCTCCTTTCCTTTCCGTCAAGAGGCCACCCAGAAGCCTTGTGAGTTCAACCAATGTTTCTAGGCCGTCGGGCATGCCGCCGCGCTTGGTCATCTTCACCAGGTCCAGGCCGCTCTCCCCGACATCCCGCAGCATGCCTGGCACGCGACAAATACTTTCTCTGTCCAGACATGCCTGGCCGCCTTTGCCCCTCCAGCAAGAAGCCAAACTTCCGCGCAACTTTGGCTTTATGGAAAAAAAATGGCTGTAACCCCTGCCCAAGCGTCCTCCCCGGCTGAACCTGTGGCCGGGAGCGCTGCCCATGGCAATGGACATGCAAGCAGCAGGCTGGATCGCCAGAGTGGAAGCCTCGGACAGGCTTTCCATATTTTGCTCTGGAACGACGGGGCTAGTCGCAGCGGATGTGCCCCCGCTTAGGTGCTCAGCTCGCGAAAGAGCTAAGGCTCCAACCACGAAGAAGTAGGAAAAGGGCATGCCGATCATGGCCGTGCTGTAGTTGACGAACCTGTGTGCTGCAAGCTCAAGGCGAATTAGGAACCTTGCCACGCTCACTATGACTTCTTTTATAGGTGAAGGTGACATATATATATATATATATAGGTGGCGTGACCATCAAAGCTACGACACAGGGTGTGTCAGCCAGAACTCTGAGGCCAGATTCTTGGATCTCATCTGAGCGCACGCACCAGTTGGGGAATAGAGGCGACACGCGCAGGAAGAGCATGTATCGAAACCTCGTGGCTCCCATGCGGAGGTTTCAATCCGCCTGCTCTGCTGCCTATCAACTCAGGTGCCGACATCGAGCCTTGGAATTTGTTCATCTCCTGCAAAGGACTCAGGACCAGGACGAGTTCTATCTCGCTTCGCGACCCTTGTGAGCAAGGGGGAGGGACAGTGTGCTGTTGAAGCAGGCAAATTGGAGCAGCTCCTTCTGCAGTGTGGCCATCTTCTCAGCAGCAAACTGGCACATTCCCAGAAGCACAGGGCAAATACAAGTGCCCATAGGTGTCCTTTTTGGAAAATAAATGGCACTGGCAGATGATTGAACCACCAGGTAAACCAGGGCCTTCTATTTTTAAGCAAAACAACCAAGAAGGACACCTATGCAAGTGCCTCTGGGCAGATTGGCCCCCAAAACTTTGGAAAATCGCCGTGGTTCAATCCCCAGGTGGACTGCTGATTCCGGTCAGCCTTCTTTCGCGACTCTCGGGGTGCTTGCTCAGCTTCCTTTTAGGATTGGAATGGCAGTCTTCTTCAGAACCGCGGTCACGTTTGTTTGGCATGACGGACCGACAGCCCGGTCATTTTTGTTTGTTCTCAATCGAGGGAAAAAGAAGCGAGCCCGCCGCGCATGCAGCAGAATCTCCCGGCCAATGCAGTAGCTCATGATCCAACCACCTGCACCCCCGCAGACCTGGCGCTTGGGAGCGCTTCTCTCTGTCCATATGGCTGCGGGTCAAAAATAGGGTCACCCCAAAATGGCACCCTGGCAAATGGAAACAATGACTAAAACCTGTGGTCCCCTGGTGGTTTCATTTTAACCCATACCCATGTTGCCGTCAGATGGTGGCCCAGTGGCTCCAATGAAAGCTCACAACTTTGGGAGCAACCCAGCGCGTTCCGTGGGTGGACCCGTTCCTTGGACCAAGCTGCTGTGCCGAGAAAGCATGCCGTGTTGCGTTCCACTCTCCCTCTCTCTCTGTCTGCCCAAAGCCCACCTCACCACTAACGCCCAGCAAATGAGCCAAAAAGCTGTAGCGCCTTGGTTGTGTGGGGTGTCTTGCCATAGGGAGAGCCTCTGAAAACGCCATCTTGACGGAATGTCTGGTGTTGCTCACTGTTTTGCCTCGCACTTGCTGAGCCGAGTCTTTCAAAAGTACATGTACTCACGTGGAAAAGATCAGAGAATCAGGAAAAGCGCACTTGGGAATCTGGAACGGGCCGAAAAGCATGCCCTATGGATTCAAGAAGCCGATGCAAATAATGTTCAGAAACGGCACCATTGGCACGGCAACATGTGTCTTTCGAACAATGGGTGCTCATGCTGTCAACAGTTGTTGCCTTTTGCGCCTGTCATTAATTTTGTCCGCCCTCTGCAGACTTTCCAGAGATTGCGTTTGGGACCACAGAACTAGTTTGGCACCGCATAAATTGAAAAGAGACCTGGCATTCAACGAAAACAGAGACCAAACACCTCGAGTTCATCTGTTCCAACCAAAAGCTGCCACCAGGGCTGACCCAGTCAAAGCCTTCAACTGTGAACTGTCTGAAAACCATCCAAAAGAAAGAACTAAGCGACAATTGATCAAGTTCTCGGTGGCTGACTGACCAATCAATCACCTCTCCAGCTAGCTAGCAAACCAGCTAGAACTAGCAAGCTAACAAGCTAGCCTGGAATTCAACACAGGAATTCGCCAAGTATGTGGGTGTCAATGAAAAAGAGAGCGAGCGGACAAGCTAAGCTGCCAACTCACCAAAGAGTGAACTAAGCAACTAGGTTAACTTGGTAACCAACTAACTAAGTAGCTAACTAGCTACTTTGCAAAAACTTGCAAACTAGCTGTCCAGCTACCTAGCTACGAGTACCGGCTTTGAAGCCAACAGTTGAAAGCTGATTAGCTGCTTAGTTGTCTGGCGAACTAGATACATTGCCAACAAAATTGTAGCTCACTGTCTCACTTACAAATTAGCTAGCCAACTGTTCTAACTAACCACCTAACAGGAAGCTGCTTAACTGGCTAGGAAACTGTCCTATCATTCATGAACTTGCTGGCTCGCTGGCCAGCCGCAAGCCAGCATATTGGCAATGTACGCCTTCACATTTGGGATTCAGTGGGAGGCTATATAGCAAAGCTTTAGAATTGTCGCCTGCCTTGATCTAATTCATGAGATGTTTCAGTAGCTTCCTCTCCTAAACGAGGAAAGCGAGCCACAACTTGTTGATGAAATGATACATCATGGAATGATTCTACTTACATTGTCGTGGGAGCAGCATCGTACGCAGCAGCCTTTAAGCAGAAGCTTGCCGATCTCCAATTTGAATGGACGTGTGCGAGCTGTGCAAAGCTGTGCAACCACTCACTCTCCCCGAGATCCGAGCGTGTTTGGCTCTGCCCACTCATCGTAGAGCGCACCAATCAGGACCTGAAAGTGCGAGAAGGCAGGCCTCCTTCTTGCCGGTAAATGTTCTATAGTTTCTAGAAACGCCATAAGGCCACAACTCCTAAACAAGACAAGGATGCACCAGAGGTGCAGATCTTGCGTGAAGAAGACATTCATGTCTCAAAACAGACAGGCTTGTGATCAGTGATCAGCCTATTCTTTCTAATGAATCATTAGACATCTGCAGCAGATACATCTGAAGCTTATCTTCCACATTGCTGGCGTCTACATGGTGGCGTCTAGGTTTTTATTCAGAATAAGGCATTGTGAAAGATTAACCGCAAAAGTATCTGATGTGTAGTGAAAGAATAGGCTGATCAGTGATCACTTTCTTCACACAAGGCTCTGGTGCAGACTTGTCTTGTTTAGGAGTTAAGGTGTTGACATGTCTAGAAAGTACCTTCATCTACCAAGTAATTGAAAGCACTGCAAGTGCTCTACACGTCCAGCAGCAGTCATTCTTGCTTTATGAGCCAAATGGACATGGGAGCATGAACTCCAACCTTTGCTTGCTTCGGGCGTCAACTTAAGAAAAACGACCCTGACGTGGGTCTGAGCGTCATCAATAACAAGCGATTGCAAGTATCTAGTCTTCTAGATGTTGGTGATACAATTGAAGCTGCAAAACACCATAATAACCACTACTTTCGGCTACAACCTACTGCAAGTAGATCTTGCTGAACCAGCTGGTGCTGGTGCAAGCTCCTGCAAGCTATTGCTGCAAGCTTGGCTTGCAGCATATTCCTGCGCAAGTGGCAAGAAAGGTAAATGTGTTCTTTTCGAGAATACTGCAAGCTAAATGATTTTACACAGCAACATGGCAAGCGAAGCTTGGCAAGTACTCGCACACATATTTACGATGTTTTTGAAGCATCCAGTCTTGCGTGCCGAAGGCATGCACGCATGGGCGCAATACATTGAAAATACAGTCACCAGCACGCTAGGGACACGCGGAGGACACGCTGAGGCTCCGAAAATGATAGAGAATTACGAACATACAACTTAAAGCCCAAGCAGTCTCATTGCGTCAACCGCTTGGTGCTCATTAGCTAGTAGTTTCCCAGTCTCTGCAAAAACCGGTGCCGCTCAGAAAGTTCCATGTCAAGCGGTCTCATTGCATCAACCGCTCGGCTCTTATTAGCTAGCAGTTTCCCAGTTTTTGCAAAGACCGGTGGTGCCCAGACAGTTCCATGTCAAGCGGTCTCATTAGCTAGTAGTTTCCCAGTCTCTGCAACAACCGCTGTGTTACCCACACGTAGTCTTTCCACAAACTGATGCTCAATTCTTTCTAGGCGGTTTTGTACGCGGATCTTAGCTTCCCTCGCAAGCAAGGCGCTGGACACCCTCAGCACGATGAACTGTCCGCGCGTCGAGGGTGAAAAACAAGCGTATTAAGCGTCGCACCCCGCTCGTGGTAGGAGACAGCAGCTATCCAGGCAATTCTTTTCAAACAAGAAGTGCCTGGCGTTGGACAGGCGAGCAAAAGCTAGACTGGCTTCAAAGCGCACAAAACGGAGCAAACGATTTCTTGACGCGTCGCGCTCACCAGCCCAAGATCTTTGCTTGGAGAACATTCACCGTGTTCTTCAAACCATACTTGTATGACTTCTCCTGAGTTTCCTTGCGGCGGTGAAAGGCTTGCCGTACAGCGGCTTGGTCCACATCGTGCTCTTGGATTCGCTGAGGGCTGAACTCTTTGATCAGCAAAGAACGGGCCACGTGCTCCTGACATCCCAGCCCTGCTTTTATGTTGCTGTATGAGAAGGAGCTGTTCCAATTCGCGGGCCAATGCTCCGGCAACAGGGTAAACACCCCAGACGGCAGGTTGGATGGTTCGTTGGCTGCTTGCCGGCCAAGGTTTGCCACAAGATGGGGTGGTGAGTCTTCAGGTATGTGTCGCACACCTTGGCCAGGTGATCGCGAAGCTTCTTCGGCTCTTCTTTGCGATGATGCGCAGAAGGCTTGAGGAAGCCAGCTTTCACTTCCGAAGGGTCGATGTAGATACAGTCGCTCCCGCTCTCATCCCTACCCCTGAAGATGTCCATGTTCACTCGCAGCTGCCGGATTGTGCCGCGTCTCCCCCCATACCACAAAAGAAGCGACGAGCACAGGTATGCTCTGTACTTCTCAGCCAGCTCAAGCTGAGCGCGCAGGTGTTGTTTCCAAAACTGTATAAGGCAAAGCAGTGCTTCGAACGCAGCCATTTCAATCCAACACCTCAACTGGTGCTCGGGCAATGCCTGATCGGCCGCCTGCGCACAATCCGCCCAATAGGACAGGTGCTGCGCGTGCCCAAACAAGAACATAGGCGGCTCTTGGCCGCGAAAAAGAAGAGCAAATAGTGGTTTAAGTACAAAAGTTCAAGCCTGCACGTCTGCAGCCTTCAAAAACACATTAAAAACGCTGAGATGTGCACACTTTCAACTTGCACAGCACTAGATTTAGCTCGCGGAGCTAATTATCACAGGGATTCGTGGACATCGGAATTGATGCCCAATGGCCTTTTGAACAGGATTTCCGATCAGTCGGCCTCAGCTGGTGGCTCCTGCGCGGGGTTCCTACTTTTAGCTAAGCTTATTTAAGCTTATCTTACTGCCTATTCTCTATCGCATTGAAAGCCCGCATCATTAAAGTGGGAGTAGGAACATGGAGAAATATATGGGATCTCTCACATTTTGCACCGGAAATTCGGATTATTGGTGTGCACTGTTCTAGAGTCAAATAGCCTTCTCAGCTTGCGAAGCTAATAACTTGAAGTAAATATTGGTCTTCCTGTGCTTGCAAACTACTGAATAGTGCAGAAATATGTCTTACTCAGCGTGATAAAATGAGTTGTGTGCACTTGTGCACATCTTCTTCTCAGGAAAATGAGCTTATGGTTCAGCTTGAGTTTAGTTGTCTTTAATCTTAACATGGGCACGAAGTGCTGAATCTACACAGTAGCATGCGAATTTGGAAAAGGCAAAAGGCTTGCAGCCCGGTTGCCTAGTTTAGAGGTTACAGGAACTTGCACCTGCAGCGGCCGCTAGGCTTGCAGGAGCTTGCACCAGCACCGAATGAACTAGCAAGATCTACCTGCAGTAAGTTGTAGCAGCAGCCAGGAAAGTAGGGGCTTCTTGAGAAAGCCTACAGTACTCCCTATAACAATCTGTAGCTTCAATTGTATCACCAACGTCTAGAAGACTAGATAGTAGGCTTGCAACTGCTTGTTGTTGATGAAGATCAGACGCATTTCAGGGTCCTTCTTCTTAAGTTGAAGACAAGACTTGAAGCAAGTAGAAAATGGAGCTCATGCTCCAACGTTTACACTTGCAAGAAGATCTTGCTCTTAAAGCAAGAACGATTGCTGCCGAAAGTGTAGAGCACACACTTGCAGGGCTTCCAACTAGTAGATGAAGGTTCAATCCGGTCCCCACCGAACTCTCATGCCCACCATTTGGGGTCCCTAATTAAGACTCATACCCATCATCGAGATCCCCAGATTTGTCTAGGCCCCGCTGCACGCACGCAAATCGCTCGCTCGCTCAGGCCGAGCGGCAGAGAGGACCATCGAAGTGCCAGCGCCGAAGGGCCCGAAGATCTTGAAGATCACCTGAGTCACTTGCTCAAAACCCGGAATTCAAATGGTCGATCCCCAGAACCATGCTTCAAGCATTAATGCGGATATCCGCAACGATTTCTGGCTGGGACTGCCCCTTACTAACCTTCATCTGCCCGAATCGGTTTTGAGCAAGTGGCTCACCTCCCGGGTCGGCGGCGATAAGACACACAGGCAACGCCGTCTTTCTTGGAGCTGGCGCCGTTTTTTGGGGCTTGGTTTCAAGGGGAAATCCCCAAAAAAAAAGACGAAGGGAAACTGTCCATGTTGGGGATCCCGAATTTTGAGACAAAGCCCGCAGCCAGGGAGAGAAAAGAAATGAACAGCCGCACACCGGGCACCAGCAAGGTGTCCAAGAGCTGAGGGCGACACGTAAATCCCCCAAATGCCGGCGGTGGTGTGCCACCTCCGAAGCTCTGCTCGGTTTCACTCACAATGCCAGTGAGTTGCTCTACCCTGGAAATCTCACGTGTCAAGGCCCCAGGTTTTCATATGGCTATGGGTCAAAATCCAAATCGTACCCCCAATGAACATCCCAATCCCCACTAAAATAGACCAAAATGGGTGGTGCACCTACCCCAAAATGGGATCTTATTGATGTTGACCCACGGCCATATTGCGCGACAAGCCACCAGTTGTCCTTCTTGTACTCCCGCAAGCCTGGCTGCGCGGGGCCGTCACTGGTTCACTGGGGGTACAGGATTTTGACCCATGGCCAAATGTCTCAATCGGCGGCTTAGACACCATGCTCCACTTAAGGAAAGCCTTCGCCCGGGGTTCTGCGGAAACCGCAACCGCCGGGCTCACAGTTCCACAGGTTCAGGATGGACCGCTGTGGGTCCTTGACCTTGGGAACTCACAGCCAACCTCTGAGGTCTGAGGATACCTAGCTCGACGTGCTCAAGCTGGATTGCCGACCAAGCCCCAAGAAAGTCAAGCATTCTGGAGCCCCCAAGATGAAAAAACCTGAGCCACCTGCAAAGCACTGGCTGTTTTGATATTCAAATCACGCGCGAGACGCCAGCGAAGGTAGGCGCGTTCATTGTCTCACGATACACAAATGGCACCCCATCCAAGTGGATTGTCCACCATAGATTGGACATGGGCAGCCATCCATGCATCGCCTGCATTAACAAGCGGCTCCAAGTGATTTGGAGCCGTGCACTATGCCTTTCAGCAACAGGGCTCAGGATGCAATCTTGACCTGGCGCAGCTCAATTCAGAGAGACGGGCCGTGAATCGAATCTCAGGCAGCTTCTCCAAAACAATGCTCATCTGAGCCACGGCATGCCGGCTTGTTTTCCACGTGTACGCAACTGATGTTAGGTGTTGAGTACCCCCCCCCCAAAAACAAAAAATATATATAAAAAATGGGAGTGTGCCCCATGTCGCTCTTGATACTCTCTGGCCTTGGCCTCAAAGAGGCTCATGAGGGCATCGTACATGCCTCGGATCCGAATCGATGCAGAAGCGATGCAGCCTCTCCCATTCAGCTCTCAAGAAGAGCGACTGCTCTGCTAAGCTGGCACCTCTCCAAACGGTTGCTTTGCTTATGAGTCCAACCAAAGAAAGAGGCTCCGTGGGCAAACCAAATTTATGACATAGGACATTGGAGGCGGCTCCAAAATAGAACATCGAGGGTCTGGCCATCATCCTCGTCCGGCCCTGCAGAGAATCAAATCACCAATTCGATGGAGCACCTAGCCCTGAATGCTTCGTTTGCGAGGCTGAGCAAAGGTCTTGGAATGCTTCAGAGCAAGGATGGATCCATGAAGTTTGACAACCAATCGCAACCAAATGTTCTCAACCCACAAGCTTGCTACAACCTGACAGGTGGGCGCTGTTGGGCACGACCAAAAAAGAGCATGCTAGCACTTACAATCCGGCCCAACACAACAGAAACGGCAAAAACTCTGTTTCCCAGTTCGTTTCCATGACCCCGGAAACCATGCCTGCAGCATCACCGCCATTTTGAGGTGGGCCTGCCAAAGGTGCTCGGGGCAACATGCCTCAGGCCAACCTCTGGTCACAAGGGCGAACCGAGCCTGTGCGCGCCGGTGGTTTGAAGGAACCTCAAGCTGCCAAGGACACTCATTGGTAGCTGGTGTAGTCATCCCAAAACCTGCCCAATCTTGACAACCATGCTATGCTTACGCCAGCAAAGGGTCCATCAATTTCACGGGCTAGCCCCCAACTTGCCTCACGGCCGAAAGTGCTGAGGTTCGCTGCCCATTCGTTATGCGATCCCCAATTCATGTCACATAGGAATAGTTATATTGACACTAATAAAAAGAGTTATGATAATGATTATAACAACAATAATAAGGATAACAATAATAATCACGATCATAATAATAACAATGATCATGATCATGATCATGATCATGATCGTGATCATCATCATCATCATCATCATCATCATCACCATCATCATCATCATCATTCTCGTCGTCGTCGTCATCATCATCATCGTCGTCGTCATCATCATCATCATCATCATCATCATCATCATCATCATCATCATCATCATCATCATCATCATCATCATCATCATCATCATCATCATCATCATCATCATCATCATAATCATCTTCATCATCATCGTCATCGTCATCATCATCGTCATCGTCGTCAGCATCGTCATCATCATCATCATCATCGTCATCGCCATCGTCATCGTCATCATCATCATCATCCTCATCATCATAAGTCATGTCCAGGGCCCCGACACGTTTTGGGGCTCTCTGCAAAGATGGAGCCGCGCCTTGGTGCAAACCCTGCTGACGTAGGGCCCACTTGCCAGAGAAAGAATGATGCCGTGGGTGGACGAAATACATTTCGCACCACTTTGAAACCAAGATTGAAACCAATGGTTGTTGGTTTTTTTTCAAGGCGAATCAGCATTTCAGGGTTTCTTAGGTGGTGCGAACTGGATTTCGTCCATCCACAGTATTCGCAAATGGCGCTGTCATTCGTTGCCTTTGCTTACGTCTGGGGATTCGTCTGTTGCAAATGAATGAACACCCGGTACAAAAAAAGCTCAAGGGGTGCCCGGCGCCAAGGCTTTTGCAAACGCCGAAAATACCCAAGTTGACATCTTGACAGAGCATGGCAAGCTACGGGATGTAAAAACCTCAAGTACAAAAATCAAATCTGGGGACATGCTTCTGCAAGCATATCCTGAGGGCCCCTCGAGGGTGAGCTTGTCTCCATCCTGGCAAAGGCACACAGAGGCCAGGAAGCTTGGGAAGAAACTGCTTCTCCGAACACAAGCATCCCCGATCTTGAAGCAGTCAACAAGCCCTGATGAGCTTACCTCACCTGCTTTGAGCATTTGAGCAAGCCTCGTCTCCTTGATCTCTCTGATCTCCTTTATGAGCTCCTCATGCCTTGGTGTCTGTGAATAATCAACCACAGAAGAGACAACACCACCACGGCAAACTTTAGCGTGCAGAAACTGGGAAGCTTCGTGTTCCAAGAATGCGTCCAGGATAGCTGTGGGGGATCCTAAAGCTTGATGCAACTGGAAGGTGCCCTTATTGAATTCACCTACCCCAACATGATACCATTGGTTTTGACCCACGGCCACTTCTCCGTAAAAAGAGAGCAACGACCGATTCGACTGCCTGGTGCAAACACCCGTCCCCTCTTCCCCGAGTAATTTCCAAGCGGCTTCCCGGCAGCAAGCTTCTTTTTCGTGTACGTCCTCCATGCATTGGAGCCCACCCTCTTGCCCGGAAAGTGTGCAAATCACTCCAAGTGGTGCCACATCCACCTGTTCTGCGAGTCCTTCTAGAAGGAAGCTAGATGGACACGAACTGATAGTACTCTCCCACTCGCAGCAGTGACTCAATGAAGCAAACAGAAGTTCGCGTACTAGGGCCAACGCGGAGAAACCTTCCAAACTCAGCACACCCATAACACATTTTTTCTCTCGGATTTAACATGCTTGCCCGGTCTTCCACTCTTCGGTCTTGGCCCAGATTTGGTTAACCTGCCAGCGAAGTTCAGCCTCGGTACAGGCGCCATCTTCGGGATAAATCTGAGTGCATGTGGCAGTGCTATGTCTCGTTTTTCCTGGACAAAATGTGATCACGCAGAAACCGCCGGCAGGGCTAAGAATGGAACCTTTTGTTGCTGCCTCGCTTGCATCCGAGCATGCTTCTCCTGAAACCGACACATCTCAAATATTGACATTGGAGTGGCTGTTGAAAGCTGAAACTTACTGTGAGCCTTGCCCTCTGCAGCTGTCTGAGCCCCCAAAAGCAGCAGCGAAAGCATGCTAGCAGGCACGGAAACGACCCTCAGATTGAAGGATGCCCCGAATCGGAACCATACAACATATGCATCTCTGTCCGATTGACCAAAGAACCCCCGTCCAACTCGGCGGTCCGCTGCTCACTCGCGCCTCATAAGCTTGAAGTTTCTGCTGGCTCGTCATCTCCCGTTGCTCCTCCAGCCCTTTGAGCCTCCGAAAAGGCGCACAACGCGGCAAGTCCCCATGGACTCTACAGGCGATGCGACACCGCGATGATGCAGGGCTCCGTTTTTGGACCTTGGGGTAGACTTGAACCCACCCGGCCCTGGGTTCAAGTCTGCCTTGGGATAGTCAAAAAAACCGGAACCGCCGGAAGATGCGTCGTAACCCTGAGCCAAAACACGCCGAGCGGATGAGCTCCAGGCCGCTCTGCACGCTCCCGGGACTTCTCCGACTGCTCTTGCTTTCGCGCCTGCGCCGTCCATAGGTTACTCCGCGCACAAGTGGCCGGCGCAAGACCCATCGACAAACAAAGCAGACAGCCTCAAGGAAGTTGCAACGGCATCTGCTTTTCATAGACTACTTACTCAAAAAGCTGCGTTGCGGCCGGAGAAAAAGAAAACAAGAAGAAAAGGGAAAAAAAAAAAAAAAAAAAAAAAAACGAAACGGCTTTCGGCAAGGCGCCTGCATGCGATGCTCGTGGTTCTGCTTTTGGAGCCGCCCGCGCTGGCAGATCTGTACGTCCTGCTCCACCACCTGGTCCAGCGGCACCCGCTGTAAGTTCCATGGAGACTGCAAGCGAAGCGAGTCACGTGCTCAAAACCCGGCATTGCAATGGTCGATCCCCACCATGCTTCAAGAATCAAGAAGGCGGATATGCGCAACGGTTTTCTGGCGACTGCTCCTGAAGCTTCTTCTACCCAGGTTTTGAGTGTGGTTCAAGTGAGGTTGCAAGCAGCGAAAAAATGAACATCTATGTGGGTAAAAAGCATGGCACTCAGCTTTGTGTTATGTTGCCCGACTCAGCTTGTGAGTATTCTTGCCCTGGGGAAACCATTGCTTCAGCGGAGAATTGAAGTCGACAGGCAAACCACGTCTGCACATTCAAGGCTGTGCGAGGCTGTGAAGCTACACGCGGCATGGAGGGTGGGCTGTCAATACAGACGATTTTGAGGCTTCCCCGATTCTTTTTTGGGATTACGGTCTACTTCCCTCTGCAAAGGGCAGCGGGAAGCACAAGTGACAAGGCAGTGTGCACACACACAGGTTCCTTTGTCCACACTATGAAACACATGTGACACATTCCGTGATTGAGAGGATCGTTTGTCCGAAAGAAATTAGCTTTTGGTGACATAAACTAGCTCGATTGGACTATTTGGTTTGATGTCGCGTAGCTCTGCTCCCGTGCCGGGAGCCTTCCTCTCCTTCGAGCTGGCCAGAGCTCCTTGCAGCTCGTGACGCCGGCTGGAGACCTCCCAAAGTGACAAGTCGGCTTATCACTTCCGACTTTGGGTGCGGAAAATTCATAGAGTTGGCCATCGAAATCCCTACAGTTCGGGAGCAAAAACACTGCGCGAAGTAGACAAGCCATCCAATTTTGGAAAGGCGCCTCGTCATGTCTCGCCTTTCTCTTGGCTGCAGCCTGAAATGACCGGACCGGACGTTGAGAAACCGTAGCAAGAAAGACGCCCCTCGGCACCTCTAGACGCATCTGGCGAGTTGAGTTGAGATGGTCTTGGCACTGCTTCTCCACAGCCTGCCAATCAAACATCGAAAGCCAGCAAGCATGCGCCGGGAAGTGCAGCGGCCCAATTCACTGAAAAGTAGCTAGCCTTGCTTCACTACCAGTTCCGAACCTGTCTACATCTTGCACTTGATGTGCATGTGTGAAACACAACTGGGTTGATCAGACTTGCGTCTGAGAGTGCACACCGCCAAACTCTCGGCCTGCCACTTCTCCTCGTGCTTTCGGTACCTGACTCCAACTGCCCGGATCACGGGGCATCTCATGCTTCGCAGTCTGCGAAAGATCTAGAGGCTTTCGTCTCTCTGAGCAAAGGTCTACCTTTAGACTTTTGTAGGTTGAATACAACAGCCCAACTTGGGTGTGGCTCACAATTAACCAGGAGGGGTTACGCAGGTTTTGGTCCATGTTTCCACTTACCAGGGTTCCATTTTGGTACCGGTTTTTTGAGCCACAGCCACTTGTGTCCAAAGGTGGAATTTCCCAGTCTCAAGTCCGGGCCAAGCCTGAACTCCTCCATGACCTGCCGCTCGGCCTTGCGTCGGACAAGTATTCTGGAGGACTCGGTCGGCCATAAAATGCGAGCGCCTGCTTCTGCGCCATGCCCACCACGCGCCGCTCGAACTTCTGAATCCTCTCAACATCGGCCTTAGAAAGCAATGTATGTGTCATCCAAGCAACATGGGTGTGGGTCAGAAACATGGACTAAAACCTGCTGTCCCCTGGTTACATTTTGACCCATACCCACATGTGCAAACCAACACTTTTGTCTCCAAGCATTGGAGCTAGCTAGCCTGGTTTGGATATGGCTGGAAGATGTGACTGAATGGGCAAATCGCAGTGCGAACAAGAGAACGGCAGTGAAAAGTGTCCCACCCGACGCAACACTCTGGGGCTTAAGGCTGCAGAGAGCTCAGATCTCGGAGAAGCTGACCCCACAGACGTCATGGCGCCAGCCGGGCTCTACAACTAGCCCATAGGCTGGGCAGCCTGCTAGGCTGGGCTGGTCTGCAGACTGAACATGTCGTTCTGGCGCAACAGTCGGCTACAGTATTGTGTCACGGAGTTGGATGATTCAAGATAGCGCCAAGCTGAATACTCGCTCCAATGTCAATGGCTGCAATCGCGGCGACTTCCCTGATCATTGTAGCCCACTGTCCAGCACCGTGGCACTTCCAAGTACAAAATGGGCAAGAGAAGAGACCCCTGAGTTTCAAGAGCCTTCCGAAAGCAAACGGCTAGTCATTAACACCTAGGATCTGAGCTCAGCTCTTTGAGATCAGAAAGAAAGCACCTTGAGAAAGTGGGCGCAAAAACTTACTTTTTCTTACGGAGTGGTCAGCTGGCTGGCTGAGTGAAAGGGCTTGACCCCAAGCGCACCAGAATCCTGGGTCTGCGGCCAGCTTCCCGCGGACCACGTCCATGGGTGTCACAATCTCCGAACATTGTGCCTGGAGCTTGCCGGCTCCGGTTTTTACCGTGTCCCCCGTTTGCACAACAATTCAGCTTGGCCATGGGTCAAAATCCAAATCGTACCCCCAGTGAACATCCCAATGGTGCACCTACCCCAAAATTGGTTCCATTGTTTTTGACCCACGGCCATCTGGGAAAGGCCCGGTGTTACCAACCCAAAAGACAGAAACTGGCGTCACCAACCTTGCTTTCCGTTGCCTTCTGCGCTGTGCAGCTCTGGTTTGTTTCCTCTGTGGTGAGTTTTGTTGGTTGCACTAGATCTGCGGTGTCTTGGGCAACATGAACATGAGTTGGTGCACTCACTATCTCACCATCCCTCCCATGTGCTTGCCTCAGGCAAGGGTGGTGCTGTCTGCACGAAGTACACTACACCTGCGCAGCCGCGGACCAGCAGACCAGCAGAGCGCACGCACCAAGCCACTGGTCTCCACGCACCTGCCACCGCCAGTACCATGAAGAGCCCATAGAGCACAAGGCTCTGCCTGAACACACCATGAGTGAGACTAGTCGTCGACTGTCCTGTCTTTCCTGTCCCAATCATTCAGCGCCAACAACAACATCATGTACCCCTCAGTATGGCCATGCAATGTATGGCCCACTGCGTGCACCACAGAAACGGCAGCGCAGCGCAAAGGCAGGCGAGAAAGATCCTGCCTCAGTGTGAGCGCCATGCTTTGGCTCTAAAAGGAGCTTCGCCCACCGCGGCCCGTCCATGGTCTGAACGCTGCAGATAGCAGGCCAACTTGGCAAACAACTTGGCAGGAGAGGCTTTGCATGGCCCTCAACACAGCCCCGCGCTGAAGCAAACCGAAGACAGAACCTGCAAAATCTACACTGGGCACAGCGGCCATTTTGCAGCCAGGCTTCACACCCCGGGTGAGCTCACAGAGCGCTCAGGCCACCGTAACTCAAAACAGCATGTAGAATGACAATCTGTCACAACTGTAGAAGGCAGAGAGTTTCTTGCCAACGCAAAGACAAGATTGTGAGCCCGGCATGCTGACATTATCGAGGGCAAGTGAGCGGTAAGCCTCTTCAATCTCGATGGAGCAAGCTCAGATCCACACACTCAACACACCCTAGCTGGCTCTGGACAACTCACTCGACCCCTCAGATATGTGCCTTGCCTTTTCTCAGCTTCGCGGCTCGATAGAGGACGGCATCCAGTAGCCCAGCCACCTCAATTTCAAGCTCCCTGAAACCAACAGCAAGGTGTTGCGCCAAAACTCCCAGCATCAAGGCTGTGGCGGTAAAAACACCACCGATGATGGCACAGACTGAGATCAGGAAGTGGGTGAATGGCACGTCCTGACATTGAACCCTCAATGACAAGGGCGGACATCCGCACCTACTTATGGCTGCGCAACTTTCACTTACCCAAGTTTTGATTGTGGCTCATGTCAAGTCCAGCCTTCACAGTCTTCTGCACCATGAAGGGTGTGAACCTCACAGAGAAAACATGTTTCTGGCATCCCGCTTCCACGTCTACAACCAATGATCTGTTGCGCTGATCTGTCTACCTTCCCGACCGGCCAGCTTACCTCAAGAAAGGACGCCATTCCAAACCCCAAGCAGCTGGTTTGCTTCAGGTCCCAAACCTGTAACAGGCTTTCCCAAACCCCTATGTTTAGAGCTCCACCTCCATTCCGAAAGCTTCTTGTTTGCTATTTGTGTTATGATGTTCTGTGGTACCTTGCTCTGCCGCGTGTCTTTTGGATGTTCTGCTACGTAGGCTTATGTGGCTGTGGGTCAAAAATAGGTGCCCAAAATGGAACCCTGGCAAATGGGAAAATGGACTAAACCTGCGGTTTGCTGGTGGTCTAATTTTGACCCATACCCATCTGTGTCTTGCAATGTGGAATGCCCTCCGCGGAATTTTGCATCGTCTGAATTGACCTCACCGCCCCCTCAACACGAACACAGGCCAAGCAAGCGATCCTTCGACACGGCGCAAACACGCAAGCGAGACCACATACAAGAAAAACCACGTGCCTGTGCTTGCGCGCACAGGTGAGTTTCTATGAGGCTGCAGGGCGGCCAGGGCAAAATCGACAGGAGCCGGCACACGCCAACAGCGGCTAAATGGATGACATCTTCAAACCCATGCTCACTTCGTTCGTAAGATGCGGACTTTTTGTTGGTTTGGGAGGAGGAGGATGTTGTCTGTCACTTCCCTTTTTCAGGGTGTGTTGAAGGAAAACCGCCTTCAAGAGAGCAAAACGAAAATCGCAGTTGAGGCATCTGTGCTCCCGGGCTCGTAGACCAAGAAGACGCCCGGCAGGCCTGCCAGCTCGCCCTGCCTAAGATACTCTAGCTTGGCGGCCGACAGGACCGAGGCTAAGAGGCAATTGGCGGGAGCCGTCTTGAGGGGTGGTGCATGAAAAATAATGCCTACAAAATCTGAGGAATGAGTCCAACGTTCTTGGCTTCAAGCCGGACTAGCACGTCCTTCTCCTGGCCAGTGACCTGCTCACATCACTTGTTTTTTTCTCTTCGGCTGTTACTCTTCTTACCCATCTCTGTTGAGGCTTGCACCGAGTACTGGTGGGTGTACTGGGGCCTGGCTCCAGGCAGGTGACAAATGAGCCGATTCGCTGATGCGAGGGCAGCACTTGTCACCATCGCCCTCAAACAGCGTCGGGACCTGCGCAGGGCGTGTCTTAAGGCAAGGTCCCCCCGGTAACCGGTGGTTTTCCCCTTTGAGGTCCCTTTAATACCCAACACGAGTAATCTCAACAAAAGACACTCCCATATGAAACGTTTCGGAGACGCTATGAATAATATGTTCCTAAGCTGTACCACATGCTAAGCTGTGTCAGAACATGATTCGCATGCCCCCAAGAAGCCAATGTACGCTGCATAATGTTGCATGTACTTTGGCGTAGTCAGTCGCCACTTCTCTCATGCTCACGCCCGCCCCACACCCGGCCCGCCAGCTTGATGTAGTAGTGGAACATATATGCTCCCTTCAATACAATCTTTGCTGTGCCCTGGCAGGGTGAGGCAGGCCAAGACAGGAAGGTGGCAAAGGCTGCTGCAATTGAAACCCCCGGAGACACTTCGCCCATGGCAATTTCCGCCCTCGTTGCCAGGGAATGGACCTTTGAACCCAATAAAAAAGAAGAAAGCAAAAAACGCGCGACGTCTCATGAGCCTCTAATGGAGATTCTACGCCAGGCACTCGTTCTCCGAACCTCCAAGGCGCGGATCTCCGACGCGCCCAGCTGTGAAGGCGGATGCTCTAAGGCACGGGCTCCAGTCTGTGAATGATGTGGGAGGTGTTGAAGCCATCGCTCACATCCTTGAGATTGAACTCGTGTACATGCTTCCCGTCTCGGACCTGGCGTGCGATGAAATCGAAAGCTGCAGTCTCTCAGCTCGTGTGCCAAGCTTGACAGGAGCTGGGTGGTCCCTTTTGCCGATCAGTTCTGTGCACTGCCGCTCTGTCCAAATAGATGGGTTGGGCAAACTGCACATCTTTCGGTCCAGGTGCTGTTCTTGCTACCGTCCAAGCCATTAAAGGTCAACAAGAAACTCGGAGCCCAAGCTGGCAAAGAGTTACCTTTCCGGGACTGCAATGGCTTAAGCCGTAAGGCCGGGTAGCGCAAGATCAAGGAGGAAGCACTTCCACTAGCTTGCCATCGCAAACGATTTCCAGCAAGCCAGGAGCAAAGCGCATCCACGAGTTTGCAATCGCAAAAACATGAAAATGGCCCCGGGCTCAGCTCTTCTTGTAGCCGTTGTACTCGTTGCCGTTGCAGTGGTACTTCTTGGTGATGCTGAAGGCGCATATGTTCAGCTTCCGCTTCAGCTGCTCCACGACGACCACGAGCCATCGGAGCAGCCAAATGATCAAAACCTCAGCCAGGTTTTGTCGGAACCCAACGGGAGTCGCAATCAAAACCCGGTATTAAAATGGCCTACCCAGAGCCATGTAAAGGATTAAGAAGGCGGCCGCAGCTATGTATGGCTGGGACTGCCCCTTGCCAACCTTCACCTACCCGGATTTTGATTGTGGCTCATGTGAAATCTGGGGCCATGATCCGACCAACGCGGTTCATCTGGACAACGCTTTGAACATCTTGCCGGCTTGGGCCCCTGGCCAGAATGGCCGCGACCAGCAACCACCGAGTGGTCACTGGGGAGATCCAAGACAGGCCGACCAGGGCGACCTCGGCATAGTATGGCACGCTGCAGTTGAATTGGATGCCATCAAGACGCCCATCAAGAATATTCCGCGTATATGGCTTCCATTGTTGCAGCTTTGGAGAACCCTGGCCCAAACCTGGCAAATGCTTGACAAGCAACAGGATGAGTAGTATGGGAAGCATCTGTTTGCCTCCTCTCTTTCCGCAGTTCAACCCGAGTACGATCGCAGCTGCACAGCATTGCTGGCAAAATAGCAATCTCAAGCTGAGGCGCGTAAGGCAGCAACCACTTTTGCACGACGGGAAAAGGCATCCTGCACACAGACTGATGGTCATGACATGGGCACGTGCAAAACTCCACGCGAGCCAGCCGACCGCCAGTGCACACTGCACCCCGTCAGCTTGCCTTGCCATGGAGAAGAGGATCATCTGCCTTTCAAGCACAACAGGCAACAGATAGGGCAACGGAATACGTGTTGCTGGAGCAATTGACGTGTCTTACTCCTCTGCAACGCGCCGCCTCCGGTGCGTTTTTGCAACCAAGATGCGCAGCAAAGTAGAAAAACAGCCTCAGTGGCAGGATGAACCCGCAAAAGGATCACACATACGGATTTGTCTTAAGAAAGGGGAACCCTCAGAAATGGTTGGTTTCCTTTCTGTTTCCCTTCAAAAGCAACCAGAAAAAGACATAAATACATACATACATACATATATTACTATACAAATAGTATATATATATATATATATATATATTCATATACAATATAAACATATATATATATATATATTTATTTAGGTATCGCCCATATAAAAGCGGAGAAAAGTCACTTCGGCCAGGTCGCAGGCTGGTGATCAAGCCCACCTCCCGCGGTGCCAGCTCCACCAGCGACGGATTCCAGGATGCCAAGAGAGGGTTCAGCACCAGAACTGGCAGCAAGTCCTCTTCCGACGAAAACCAACATCAGTTGGGCGGGTCCGGCTTGCAACGGTAGGAAGGAAGCAAAAAAAAATGTCGAAAACCAACTTGGTGGGGATCTTGTCTTCCGTCGGAAGGAAGCAGAGGTCGAAGACCCACATCAGTTGGGTGGGCATCAAATTTGGGGATATATGTACACCAAATAAAGTTTGAGGGCGTCCCTGTGAGTTAGCCACTTCTTGATGCTGGTTGCCGCTCCCTGCTGACTGCTCAAAATGCCATCTGCTGCTCCTGTCAAGTACAACTTGCTGCAGGTGGGGTTTCTTCAAAGGCAACAATGCCCGTGTGTTGCCGCAGGTCGGCACGTGCAACCAGTCAGAAATCAGCCGTTAGATCTTCGTTTTGTGGTTGTGCCAGTCCTTGACACAGGTCGCACCCGAGCTGCCCCGTTCCGCAACTGCGTGCCAGACAACCTTCCCCAGGCAGATGACCATCAAAGCGCACATGAAGATGATCCAGGCCTCTCCGAATGCAGAGCAAAAATCATCGTCACCCCGTGGCCAAAACACGGCCAGCTTTCGTCACAAGCAAAACCAGCTTGAAGGGATTCCAGCCAAGATGTGACCAACTGCAGCTGCCCTCATCGCCCTCCACTTACGTGTTTGGGCTTTGCTTAGGTCAAGATCCCAGATCATCTGATATCTCTCTTCTTTGAGTCTTTTGCTGAGGTTGCTCAAAACAGAAAAACGCTTCGCAATTCCATGATCGGTGCTCCCATCTGAAGCTGCGCCTGGAAGATGACAGTTTTCACGCTCATGTCAAAAAGCTCCACATGAGCGGAGGTCGCGGCGTCGACGGCCTGCAACCCACTCAGCTCGTCTGTAAGCAGCTCCCCCTCTCAAAGTTGAGGAGGCAACCGAGCACGTTGGGGTGATACACATCTCAAGCCTTTGGACATGTGAGCGGGAATCCTAGATGACTCATTTAGGCCGACATGCATGTCCAAGCACCTTGAAAGAAGTTCCCCGTCGCAATTCGTAGACACCTTGCATTTAATGCAGGGGGGCGGGCGTCTGCTCTTGGTGACCACCAAGCTTTTGTCTGTCTCAGGCATCCAGTGAAATGTGCCACTTTGCCGTGCCAACCCACTTGGCCCGTACCTACAAAGACTCGACCCGCCTCAGGCCCAACCACTGCCGCCCAGAGCGACATCAGCATCAGCACCACTTGTGTCTCTGTGACCCCCACCTCGACTGGTGCACATCGCTGCTTTTGGAGGATGCCACTAGGAAGCTATGGCGAAACATCCTCACAGCCCATATGGGTATGTCAGGGCATCCTTCTTGGGGTTGTTCTAAAGAAAACGAAAGGGAAACAACCCCCTTGGAGGGCCCTATCCTTTCAAATCGATAACTACAATTGCCTGCGTCTTGTGACTCAGGAGCATACCTGTCAATGTCACCACCTCCAACAGTCTAGACACTCATGACTCATGCCAGCTGAGTGCAGAGCTGGGCCATAAGATGTTCGAAGCACCCCGGTGTGGTACTCTTGCCACTGAGCCATGAAGAAAGCTGACCTGGCGCCAGAATCCAACAGCTTCTGCCGCGGTCGCTTCCAACTGGGGGTTGCCACAGAAGTTCAATGAGCTGCATCAGACTGGGCCCCCAAAGGTTTGGGGCCATTCCGAATACCCAAAAGAGTGTGGCTCAAAATTACTGGTCCAGGGGACGCCACAGCCGTGTGTGGAGTCCATGCATACTCGCACAAGCAATGAGAAAGGGGCTCCCTCTTTTTTGCGAACTTGGCCACTTCAAATGAGCGTGTTCCAAAACTGGGCGTCACCAAGAGGGCGGCTTCCATCATTCCGGTTCCGAACCATCACAAGGGCCCAACCCGGCGGAAACGCCAAACGCTGGCATTCCAGTGCCTCCCAGAAGACTCCCAGCCTTGAGCGCACTAAGTGGGGCTCCCAGGTAGACACCCCATGATTCTGCTGTGGGTCAAAAATAGGTACCCCAAATGGAACCCTAGTAAGTGGAAACATGGACGACCCATACCCATTCCGCTCCAAGCAACTGCAAGGCCGACATGCTGAAGAGACCCCAGGAGGAGGCGCCCGGCAGGAGGACCATGGCGGCAGCTGTATGCTGGCAGCGGGTCAAAAAAAAATGACATGCAGCATGATCAGCATATGGCTGTGGCTCAAAAAACCGGAATTCCAAAATGGGTTGCCCTGGTAAGTGGAAACACGGACCAAAACCTGCGGTTTGCCCCTCCTGTTTCATTTTGAGCACACCCATATCTCACCATAAGTTGGTTTGCATGCAAACAGCTCCTTGCAAACACAATCCTTGCCAGTGGACAAACCAATCGGAGGCTATGAATCGAATTGAATCAAACTCCTTCAAGGCCTGGCGGCAAATGCCAAGGCCCCATGTCGACTCAAAAATATGGCTGGTGCTCCGTGGGGAATGTGGGAATGAAGCGGAAGGGGTCCGGTTCAGAAGGAAACCACCACCAGGGGCGGCTCGGCGGCTCTCTCGCGGGTCATTTCAATTCTCATTGCCCCCATCGCAATCACCAGACCCCCAAGGCCTGGGAGACGCAAGCGAGGCAGTCGCAGCCGTGATCGAAGAGCTGCCCGAGCGGCGTGGAGGAGGCCGTTCTGCGCGCCTCCAAGCCAAATGCAACGAACTGCTTCAGGAGTATTTCGGAGTGGCTTAACATTGATTGGGACCAACAGATAAACCGTCCTTTACTTGCTTGCTTGACAGCTGCTTTGGAAGGTCCCCGATGTTGAGACACCCCCATTTGAGGGTCGAACATAAAGATATGAAAAAGCTTTCGGTCTGCGTAGTACGCGGGGCTCCTTCCTTTGCTTCGCGCCTGCTTTCCATCCAAAGCATCCATGGTCTGGTAGAAGTACAGCACCAGGGTCATGCTCAATGACAGCCATCTTGGCCTAAGCTCGGAAAGCGAAACTGCGCTTGAATCAATTGTAAACAAATGGCTGTGGCTCAAGAAAGTAGAACGTTACCAAAATGGTACCTGGGTAATTAGAACCAAAGCCCATCACCTGCGTAACCGTAGCTCTTTCATTTTGAGCCACACCCAGATCTTTGTGGGTTCTGCCTCCAAATAACACCCCTTTCATGCGGCTTGGCCTTGCCCTTGCCATGCCACGGAGGGGTGGCAAAGCCAGGGGAGATGAACCAGCACACCGCGTAGATCCCCACCAACGGCAGAAAGCCCAAGAGCGTCACCTTCGCACATCTCAGCGCGGAGATTTTCACGCGGCGAGTAAGTCACAGTCTTCCCATGCGTACAGTGCTGACAGCTTCAGTCAACCGTGGTCTTTCACAGTCTTCAGACAAGCCGACGACCCGAACTTCCGCCAAGGCTCCAGGTTGGGCGCCAGCCATCTTGGCAATGCCTATGGAAAGAGCTGAATAATGCTTCTCACGAATGCTAGGAACACCTCTCATGTTGCATTCCAGATTCAAGACGCTAGCGTCAAAGGGAGGGACACCTGAGATTTGACCTTTTGTCCGCATTTTTTACCGGGCCATTTTGTAGAGGCGCCATACAAAAACATGTTGCCGCTCGCATGAAAAACGAATGTCGCTCCTCTGCAAGTCGAAACCAGTAGGGGTTCAGCAACAAGTCCAGCGGGGTATACTTTCCAGGCTTGTACCTGGGCTGTCGCAAATCCCCTTCTTGTCCAAAACACCACCCGCCAATCTTCCAGATGGATCTTTGGTTTAAAAAAAAAAATGGTCGCGTAGTGCCCCCCAAAAAAACGGGCTGTATTCTGGCCAGGCTTCTCGTGCCGCGCAATATGTTCAAGGCCACTCTCCGTGAGCACCATGGCGCCCAAGCGTCGGCGTCGACGCTCTAGGGGGAAAAAAAAACGCCAAAAGAGGTGCGTTGTGTCGAAGAAACATGGGGATGGCATTAAAAGGAAGTGAAGAAACATGGGATACCATGAAACCATTGGGATGAAAGAACGAAGTCGTCCTGCAAAAATCAAGCTCTCAGCCATGCGAGCGGCGGACTGGGAAGAAAATGTCACACGCTTGCCCCTAGCAAAGAGCGGAATTTCAGCTTCCCATTGAACCAGAAGGGAAGGTCTCATGCATGTTTTCCGTTTGTTCATTTGCCCTCCCAGCGTGGTATATGTCGGCAGGAATCCATTTGTTGCATGGTTGCGTGCAAATGTTTGTGCCGTGTCCAAATCGGAACCGCAACTTCATGCCGCATCGTGCTTGTGGCTGTGCATCCCACCCTTCTTTGCTTGGGCGTCCACACAAAACACATTCAACATGCCATCCAACGTGTAAAACTCATCCAAGTCATGTTCTTGTCGGCGCCGGAAAAGCGTGTCTTGAGTGCCGTCGATTTGCCGAGCGCCACGTGCACGTTGCCCCCGACCTGGCTGCAAATGGGCTCTCTGCATGCAAGGTCGAGCAACGTCAGCCAAAAACTGGAGCCCCAAACCATCAGTGCAGCCCGCGCCTTGGACACCCGAACATCGCCGTGAACCTGGCAACCCACGCTGTTTCGGCACTGCATCGCCTCAGAGCGGCGGAAATGACCTTAAACACGTGCACACCTCGAATCATGTGTCTCATCCTTGTGGCCCTTCCACGGCAAGATATATGCCCCGGGTCAAGCTTCATGGTGTCCCCGACTGACACAGCTAGTTGGTTGGGGGCTGCGTGCTCAATGTCATCTGCAGCAGAACAGTGGATGACAGTGGACGTTGACAAAGACTGAAACCTGAATTTACCACCAGCTTCATCTTGGTCCCGAGCAGTGTCCAGGATGTGAAAATACGGAATGCCCATATCTTGATAGGCCTCCTGCAAGCAACTGAACTGGCTGTGTCTCTGATGAGTGTGCATGGCTCAACGTGAAATTCTTCGCTTTGCAGTCTTTCAACGGGGTACATACAGTCCTTCAACTCCTGGCAGGAGTTGCAGCACCTGACAGCCAGTGCCCAAATCAGCCTTGGGCACAACTCCCTTTGGGATCCTTCCCTGCCGTCTGCCAACAGTTACCAAGTAGTCTACCTGTCCCTCAGTGTCCAGTGCATTCTGCTGGCAGTTGGATGGCATTAGCCCTATCATTGCCAGGATCTGTGTTGAATTCAGCGTCATATAACGAAAAGGCATTGCCCCGGTACGTGATTGAAACACATTTTGGTGATTCGCCACCGAAAGCCAAGCGCACGGCGACTTGGCAGGTTCTTTGTCCGAGGGATCTGGCGTAGCTTCCAGGCAAGAAAAGCACCTGCCACGGAATACCCAGAGAGTTCTGCCAGCAAATATTTCGCCTTGCTCAACTTATCCATTGTCTCGTAGGATTGTAACTCATTGAGAGAACATCAGATTGGCCAAAACATACCCGAAGAACTGGGCAGGAGCGCTCACCCTGCTTGGCCACTGGATCTCCCTTGCTCGGGGCCCCATTGATGTCCAAGTTCAGCTTGGTCAGGGTGCCGGCAATGTCCACCTGGCTGCTCACGTAAACAAGACTCTCTTCCCTCAGGCATCTAGTTGCCTGGTTCTCGCCAGTTGAGTCCACAGTATCCACTGACACCTGCAAGATTGCGCGGGGTTTGTAGATGGACGAGCAAACTGACTGCCATGAGAAGGCGTGAGCTGTCTCAAGCGAAATTCGGAAAGGTGGTTGCAGATTCAAGCACCATCCGACCACATCGCTCACCAAACTTGCAAGTAAGCTTAGTGCAAATCTAAGCTCTTGCCTACTTTCACAAAACGGCAAAAGCCGCTCTCGAACCTCGTCACATCTGATGTGAGGAAAGGTGATGTTGAGTCCAATCCTTGGAGGACGAGTGACTGCCTCTTGGCCTCCGTTTCACTCTGAGCTACGAACGAATGCGTGTCCAATCTGATGCTTCGAATCTTGCATAGTCTGGGGCCCAGGCGGAAGCTTTTGGTTCAGAGTGGTGTCCACCACTATATGGTCCTTGCACCGTCTCTGGACGACCTATGAAATGTCAGCTTCCCGCAAAGCAAAATAGGTGTGGACAGCTAATATCTGGACTTGCCTGGCAGCCTGTGCGTGTTTGAAGGTAAGCGGCTAACATAAGCTGTTGGCCTTCCCACATGGATGCCTCCAAGCCCCCTCAACCGTCCGACAAACCTCATTTGTGCATCTTCCTCACCTGGATCTCAGCTTGCAAGTAGCTGCACAGCTCGGAGAGGAAGAGGAGCGCCTCTTAGGGAGCAAATGAGCCTTGCTCATGCCACAGGGCCCGATACCCGGCAAAGCACACCTTCCACTTTCCACGGCAAAAACGCCCAAGCACGCTCACTGTCGCAGTCTGCCCAGTCATAGAAACTATCACAAACAAGTTCAGTAACTAAGGAGCATACCATGATGACCATAGATGCCAAAGAGATGATTCCACCGCTTTGTGTTTTGATCCTGTAGTCATCATGAACCTGCAAGCATCACATGAGTCAAGCCAAACTCAATCTATGCAACTGCTCAACTTCCCACCTTGCCATACAGATCAAACTGTTTAAACGTCGACGATGAAGATGCGCCATTGGCGCCGTGCATCACAACGGATCTTGGAAGGGTAGAACAACTTGTGCAATTGAATGGTCCGTTGCGTTGCACCACTGCAAAGCATGCGCAGGGCGACTATCCAAGAAATGGTTTCAAGTTTCGGACATGGTCGGCTCCTGGGAACCTGTCATTTGCGAAACCATCTTCTTGCAGAATTGAGTTGCCCACAAAGTTTGGTGTTGATGCCCGAGCATGTCCACTGCCGTCCGTGTAACATGTTTTGGTAGCTCACAAAGTGCAATTCCAACTGAGCCTGGCATTGTCACGTATCAACGCCCAATCATGCCAATAGCACAGACGCGCGCACGGATATCACGTTTTACATCAAAACTGACAACAAATCATGAACGATTGAGATTGGACTTCGGTCGTGAATTCTCGCATGCATTCTTCCAAATATGTGAAAGGCTCAAAAGCAGCAGATATGCATTTCCCGACCATTCCCTTCACCTGAAATTCCCAGCCCCAGCAAAATTGTGGAAATTCATGGAAATTCATGGAAATTGGTTCGCCATTGTTTGGGTCTCAAGGGTAGACATGTGGTTCCTCAAAAGGGCAAATCACATAACTGTGGCCCATTGTCTTCGGAGTTTCTTCTTTGGTCTGGCTTTAAAGGACACCAAAAGGGACCTCCTTTCGTTTGCCCCAAAAACTCGAAGCTCAACAAAGGACACCCATATCTCGATCCCAAATGCATTTCTGAGAATTCCCTGTACTGACGGGCGGTCCAAACTTGATGTTCCTTGACTCTCATTTTTTTGATATGGGTTATCACGACATAATTTTGGGGCAACCGCCCAGCTTTTTCCAGATACAGGTTGTTTTTTTCAGATGCACCCGTTGAACCTCCCCCTGCTTCTTCGGCTTGCACCCGGTGCTTGGCACAGGCCCGCTTTGCGGGCACCAGCGTCACATTTTGAGATCCACAAAATGCTCGTGTCTCTTTATTTCTCTTGAAGGACAAAGAGGGTACCGGAATGGAAGGTCCACGGAACCTCAAACTCAAAAAGCATTTTGTGAGTTAATCTTTTCTAACTTTGATTTGTAGAGAGGTTAGAAAGGGGAACCCTCCCCCAATAGTCCCACGCCCGCACCACTCTTCATCCGCCTCGAAACAGCGCAAGGCCAGCTCTGTTCGCAGGTCGCGCCTGCTCGAGCGGGAAAGAAGCGCGGAAGAAACTCTGCGCATCTCTTTGACAATTCGCAGGGGCTCCTTCTCACGCTCTTTGCTCTCGTCCAGCTGCTTCTCGAGACGTTCGATCCGACGGCGCTGGTGCGAGCGCTCGGCCTTGTGCAGCGCATCCTCGCGAGGACGCTTGCAGGGAGCCCGCTGCACCGTCAGAGCGGCCACCAGGTCGGGGGCATCCTCGCCCACCCACGCCGCGGACTTCTCCTGAAGCCAGGCCTGCACACACCGGAAGGCCCTCGAGGACGCCACTTGATCTTTTTTAACGGCTGCGCTTAAATGTGCCTTTAAGCGGACTCGAAAATCATGGCAACTCGAAAAAACAAGCGGTTCCTTGCGTTTTTTTTCGCGGTCCATCGAGCTCGTCAGGCCCAGCCACCGAGGCAACGTCACGGGGGGGCGCCCCGATAGCTGCTCCAGGTTGCGCCAGCGCTTAAAGGGCGCGAGCTGCGGGCGTCGAGGCCATAGACCTGGCTGGGGATCAAACTGGCTTGTTACAGGGATCAGATTGACTTGTTCACGCGCAGAAGCATCAAAACTTGTGAAGCATCAGATTCGCTTGTGAGGGGGGTCAGATTAACTTGTGGGGGGATTAGATTGACTTGCGGCCGTATCAGGCAGGTTAACTGCGGAAGCCTCCGCTCCTTCGCGGCGGCTGCGCGCCATGATCATCATCAATCATCAATCATCATCATCATCGTGATCGTCATCCTCATCATCAACATCATCAATGGTTCTCATCGTTGCACAGATGAACATATATCATCATCACCATCATCACCATCATCATGATCCATCCATCCATCATCATCATTCTGATCAGTCGTCATCGCCATCATCCATCATAGTCATCATCACCTTCTTCCTCGTTGTCGTCATCCACCATCAGCACCCTCATCGTCATCCATCATGATCGTTTTTGCAAAGGTCATACTCATCATCCTCGTCATCGTCATCATCACCATCGTCCTCTATCGTCTACCACCTTCATCATCACCCATGATCATCATGGGTGGAGATGATGACGATCCTGCGACGGACGATGATGATGATGATGATGAGGGACGATGATGATGAGGCTGATGAGTCCGTGCCATCATGACTATCGTCAGTTGACGAGCGAGAGATACGCGAAAACCACAATGATGCTCACAAAGCTGACGGGTGATGATGATTCTCACTATGAAAACTGATGGCTTGAGGAGGATGGATGATGATGGTGCGTTACGATTGACAATGATGAGGATGATGAGAACGATGCGGCGATCATGATGATGGAGGCTTACGAAGGATGCTGGTGATGAGCGTGATGGATGATGCTGATGATGATGGTGGATCATGAAGGATGCTGATAATGGTTGATGATGACAGGTGATGATGATGGTGATGATGAGGATGATGATGATGATGATGATGATGCATGGGCTGGACGGTGATCATGATGACGGACGATGACGATGATGGATGACGAGGGTGATGATGATGATGATCATCCTCCGTGCCACGACAAGTATCGTCGTAGCACCCTCTGCGCGCCGAGCGCTGCCTAACACACGTGGTGATGGATGACAATGATGCATCATTATTGTGATGATGATGGTTCATGATAATAAGGAGGATGGATCATGATGATGCTGGTCATGACGATGATGATGACGCACGATGCAAGCGATGACGATGCTGATGATCATCCATGCCACGACGACTGTCATCGTAGCGTCCTCTGCACGCCGAGCTTCGCCTGACGGCGCAGTTGAAGTCTGTGTAAGATACGGGGTAAGGGTCATGACGCCGATGATGACCACGATGATGATGACGATGACGGAAGATCACGATGACGGTGGTGGTGATGATGATGATGATGATGCTGATGGATGATGATGAACGTTGGTGATGAGATGATGAGGACGATGATGGATACCGATGAAGATGACGATGATCACCATGATGATAGTGATGATGATGATGGTTGACCAACCTGGTGGGGATGAACTTGATGACGGATGATGGATGATAATGATAATGGGTGACGACGACGATGACGATCGTGTGTCAGAAATTTGCTAAGACGGCTATGGTGATGATGAAGATGCCACGGCCTTGATGACGATGACGATGATGGATGACGGTGAGGATTGATGACGACGACGACGATGATGAGGACGATCACAGTTGCATAACGACATGATGATGGTTGATGGATGCTGGCGACGATGGTTTTTGATGATTGGTGATCATGAACGGCGTGATGATGATGATGATGATGATGATGTTGCTGATGCTGGATGATGACGATGCTGACGACGATGACGATGATGATGACGATGACGATGACGATGATGATGAAGATGATTATGATGATGATGATGATGATGATGATGATGAATGACGAATGATGGCTTTTCGGTGCACAACTAACAAGCCAATCTGATGCTCGAAACTGTCCAAGCCATAACACGCCGTGCATGGGCACCAGATTCTCGTCGGTCGTCGGTCGGTCGTCGGTCGGTCGTCGTCGGTCGGGGAACCCTCTTTCTTCTTCCTTTCTTCCCTGTTTAAGCTCGCCTTGCAGAAACACAGCTACGGCGCAAATTGCAAGCATATCGAGGAGTCGATATAGCGCAGGCACGGGGCTCCCTGCAGCACTTTAACTCTCGGACTCTTCGCTTGTTTCCTGGGTGGGACAAGTGTCAGAAGCCCCTCAGCTGCATCAAAACCCATTTGGAGAATCCTCTAAACATCCAGCCCAATGGCTTGCGCAAGATCAAGAGCGTGCCCAAGAAGGCGGTGGCCTGACGCCCAGCCTCTTGAGCACCGGGAGGTGAGAGCAGCAAGCGCAGGGCGCCTTCGCCCACCTGATCGCTGTGGAGACCGTTGAGAAGCCCCTGTCAGCCTTCAACTTTTGTCCCCAAAGTGAACATCAAGGTAAAAGGTGCTTCCAGGAAGCAGGAGATAAACCCCTGTCCTTCAACAACGAAGGTCTATGGGGTCTGCTCATCAGTTTGGTGGAATGCGTCAGATTGGCTTGCGATTTCAAAACTCATCAAAGTGACTGGTTGTTTAGGGTTTCTTACCCAAGAAAAGCAAAAGGCACTTTTTCACCTTTTGACTTGAACCTGTTGTCCGCGATTCTGATCTTGCAGACGGCCAGCCGGGCGTCGCTCTGCAGGTGCTGGGGAGTCCCTTAGGAAGCCCCAGCCGCCGCTCTTTCGGCAAATGACGGGTCACTGGCCGGGGCGGACAGTGGTGCAGCAGGAGATGTTCTCACACCTCGCGTTGATCACTTCTGGCCCAGGAAGCTGAGCGCCGCTCCCATCGGAGTCTTTCTCAAGCGCGAAACGCTCTTCGAAGCGCTTGTAGAACATTTCGTTCCTCGGCTTCAGGTAGTACACGAACAGGAAGCTGTAGGGTTCCCGGGTCGGGTCTTCTGCTCGTACATCCTGAGCAGCTTGTCCTTCGGCAGCAGGGCGCTCAGCTCTTCGATGATTGCTAATTGACCCGCACGGCGGCGCTGATGAGCTTCAGCTTCTGGGAGCTCCGAATTCATCGATGACTACAAGCGCCTGGTGCAGTTTCTTCATCTCCAACTTCTTGGACGTCTCGGTGATCTTGCGCTGCCGCTGGATGATGCGCCGCAGCGCCGCCTCGTCCCACTCGTCCCAGTAGGCCTGCTCGCGCTCCGTGTTCACCCCTTGACGGGGATCCAGTCGTCGATGTTTACGTTGGGGCTGAAAACCATGCTGATCAGCGCAAGCTGGTGTAGGGAAGAGCTTGATCTTCCCCATTCGTCCTTTTGCGTTACTTCCCAATTCGAAGACGGGAAG